GTGCCCTACTACAATTTTCCTGTACTCATGCAGTTCAGCGAAGGAGGGGTTTGAATCTTTCAGACTCCAAAAGGAGAAAAGGGAAAGTCACCTGCTGATTGCTGGTTTTTGATCTTTTTGGTTAAACCCGAGCTGAGAGAATGGGCAGGCATTATTCTATCTTTCTTTCAAAGACTCGCTTGTTTTTACAGGTCCGAGAAATGGTGGAAATAATCACAAGAGAGTTCATTTTAATGGCGGGAGCAGTGGGAGAGGCAAGTTGCCCAAGCTCTGTTTTATGCACATAGTCTCAGTACTGAAATACCATGGTGATGGGCCCTAGCTAGGCTGATGAATTTCATATGTAAGATTTTGAATGTACATTTTCTACTGACTATGTTTCATGTGTTTAATAGTCTAGTAATCACAAGAGCATCTCCACAAGGAGGCAGGTGTTTGTAGATCAATTTTCTATGTGTACGGGTGTCAAATATCTATGTAGAAGAAGGGACCCTTTGCCCAATCCTGACTTCACGCCACTTCATTTTGGAACCATTTCCGTTAATTTACCAAGCACCTTCCTTTTCCTTTTAAAAAACCCCACCTCTTTAGACTACCCCCAGCTCCAGACTTATGCTGACAGCAGAATGAGATATTGATGTCTCCCAGTTATTCGTGGAGGATGATGACTGTGTACAGCAGGTAGAGTAGTTGCCAGTCCTGAGACCAGTCTAAAGCAGTCTGCTGTATTTTGTTGCCATACAGGTAGAATTGGAGCGAGCAAAGACCCAGCTGAAATCCATGCTTATGATGAACCTAGAATCCCGGCCAGTTATCTTTGAGGATGTAGGAAGGCAAGTGCTGGCAACAAACACAAGAAAGCTCCCTCATGAGCTGTGCTCTCTCATCGGTGAGTAAACCCCACTGACTTTGCGCTGACCATGTTGGGCTGTAGGTGCACTCTGCTGATACCTTCGCGCAGGAGCTACCTTGCGAGTTCGGGTGGGAGGATTTAAACGCCTAAATCCTGTCCTTGATAAAACAGGACCTTTTGGTAGGGTGCCACCTCTTCAGCAGTGTGAGACTCTTATAGGCTCTTAACCCCCAGAGTGGGGAGCAGGGAAGTTTCAGCAGAATCCCTCAATGGCAGCAGTCGCTCTAAGGATTAAATATTTGTTTGTCAGTACTGGGGCAAATTCCCAGCTCACCTTGCTGCTGATGGTATTTCAAATATAGACAGCAAATGTTAACTAGTGAGGCGATGAAGTCTGAGCCAATGCCCATTTAAATCAACGGAAAGACTTCAGATTAGGCTCTTTTTGTCTAATGCACTGGAAGCCAGGCCATCCCAGCTGTGGCATGGACTTGCTCTGTGTCTGGCCAAGCCACTTAATGTTTCTGATCCTCTGTTTCCCCCTCTGTAGAACAGGAATTACTACCTTTCTCACTTCACGGGGTGTTAGGAGGGAGGGTGACAGTGCAAATGGAAGTGCTCGTTTTGCCCCCGCAGCCCTAGGGTGTGTTTACACTAAGCAAGGCTTACAGAGACACCATCAATTTGATTTTTAAATTAATTTTAAGAGCCAGCCCCATAAGGCTTTTATGGGCAGCCCTGGAAGTAGCCCCTGCGAACAGACCTAGGCCCAGTTCTGCCCCTCCTCCCCATTCCTGTCTCTTCTATCATCTGTGTTGCCTCTCAATTTATTTCAGCTTTGCTGCTGTCATTACTGAGAGAGGCCCTCTTGCGTGGGGCGTAGTGCGTGAGTGATATGGGCTGGTTTGTGTACCAAAACCAGAGCAACTGACCAGCAGAACTGGCCTGACAAAAGCACTATCAAAAAAGTTTTCTCTGATCTCAGAACAATTGTGGCAATTATTTAACAGTTACAAATCGGAGGGAAATGCAGTTGTGAACCTGTCCCCCTTTAACTGGGCATACTTGTAATAAATTAACTTAATATCTTCAAACATCTTACAAAGTAACCCTCAACTGCTTGTGAGCTAGCTAGCTTGGTGCTCCCGTTTGACAGAAGGAGAAATCTGACACACAGTTTCAGAGCTGGGATTAAAATGCAGGCATTCCAAGTATAGATCCAGCACGATGAAATTATTCTGCCTTCAGGGCAAAGCTTCTATCTCTGTTTAAAATGCATTTGAAATAGCTCTTGTCATTGTCTGCAGGTAACGTGAAACCCAACGACATTAAGAGAGTGGTCGCTAAAATGCTTCGTAACAAACCAGCTGTGGCTGCACTGGGTGACTTGACGGAATTGCCTACGTATGAACACATTCAAGCAGCACTGTCTAGTAAGGATGGGCGGCTACCTAGGATGTATCGGCTTTTTCGATAAAGCAGCAAATGCTGTATAGAACAGGAAACTTACTTTTTATATACATATTGTTCTTTGGATTATGTCACTGCAAAAAAAAGAATATTTACATGCACATGGTGTAAATACGGAACTTTTCTTGTAGCTGAGACGGCGTCAGCTGTTCAGAATGTGAAGCGTTCATGCTGGTATAAGCTTACAGAGCGGACCCAGCTCTGAATGACCACTTTGGCCATCAATAAATTCTTCTGCCTTCCGCGGAAGGCGGTGTGTGTAGGCCTTTCTCTTGGCACCTTGAATAACAGTGTGGCAAAGCAAACCTAAACCACTACAGGTGAAAGGGCTACACATACTGATGAATTAGCCAAGATCTTACAGTTACCACTTGCTTTAAATATCCAGTATTGCAAGGGAAGTGTGTTCATGTTACTTTTTCTTGATAGGTCTGAGCATTGGTGGTTGTTGCCCAAAATGTGTTGTGTTCCTTACGAAAAGAATAGATTTAGGTGGAGTTACATTTCATAAATCAGTTGTCCTCCAATCTTGTAGACTGTGAGTAGTAATACTGTCACTTGGGGAGGATTGTTACAAGTATTGCTAAAGTAAGGTGCTAATGTGAGGCTTCTTAGTCCAGAGAATATATAAAACTGTAATCAAGTTGAAGGGAGGGCACTAGAACAATCTGTCCCCATGACAAAGTTCTGAGTTTATACTTCATTTTAAAATGTAAATATTGGCTGCTTTTGTAAAATACCTTCAATAATCTGAACAAGATTGCTGCATGTTCTTGTTTAGACGTATCATGGATAACATACTTACTTAGTTACAGCTTTCCATCAAATGCTGTGCTCTCAGACAGATCCCCCTGTGAAGGGTGTGGGGTGGTAGATATGTGGCCACACAGTGCTCCCTTGAAATTAGGTTGAATCTTAAGTGCAACTCCTTGTTTCTTGCAAACAGAAAAGCAATTTACCCTGATAACTGCCTATTTCCCCAGGAAAGATTAAGCTGAATTAAATGTTGTCAGCAAACAGACAATGATTTGTATTAAGAGCTTAGTTTTGAAAGTAATTGGTTCTTACTAAAAGCCATTAAGAAGAAATTCATATAAGAATACCAACAATAACAGGGTTAACACAAGAAACCATCACCTTTGACAGGTGAGATGTAATATCCAGTTATATACAAATTTCTGACCTTTCTAGACATAATTAGTGAAATTGTTCAGTGCTGCCATTAAATGACTCTGCATCAGTGATCAAACTGAGCAGAAGGTTCAGAGGCAGCTACTGGTTGCACACACATAACATCCATTCATGTGAGTGGAAGTTGTGCATGCTTCTGGACCAGAGAACATGCCCAAAGTGGTGGTGTTAATACTAACAAAATGCAGCCGCTTTTTGAACCTATGGTATGCTGTAAAACATACCGCTTTGTCCTGTCAGTTGTGGTGCGTATGTTTGTCAAGGAAACAAATAAAGGCAATGAAATGAATGGGTGTGATTAGTAAGTGAGCAAAGTGACTATGACAGTTTAGAAAGTTATCAACTCTTAATGGCAGGTTTCTGAGGAAGGCTTTTAAATTGATAGTTAATGAAGTGCTTTTAAACTAATCCATTAACACTTAGCAAGGCAAGCAAGAAGTGTGTCCTCCTTTACAGCTGAGGAAAGATGACATGATTAGCCCTAGGCCACCCGGGCAGTAAGCCCATGTCACAGCTCTGACTAGAACTCAGCTCTGCTGTTGCTCAGCAACAAAGTTGGCTCTAGCTAAGGTGCACAGTTTTGTTGGGTTTTTTTTTAAGGAACCAAAAAAAAATGACTAAAACTGATGGCTGGACCTGTCCTGTGCACAAACAGAGATGGTTTTAAATTCAGAGGCTCTGTCTCACCCTGTGGGCTATTTATCTTGGCATGTACATGGTCCCATAGGCTTAGGGCTATGCATCTTCTCACGACTGCACATACCCAGGAACCTTCACTCTCTCTGCAAAGGATTTATGGCACATGGGCAGTAGGTCCCTTTTATAGCTTAGTACTGTTCCTGCAGGAAATCTACCTCTCAGTAACAAGCTTAATTTTAGAAACCATGCCATTTGAGGTATGAGTAAATCTGTTCCTCATTTTATTTGTAAACAGAAATTGGGACAGAAAACACACTAACAGGTGCTTTAACACAAAAATGCTGAAAACTGAGAGAAAGTTGGACTTTTCTTTATAATTTAATTTCTAGGCTATGTTTGCAGTATGAAAATATCACTTAAACCAAAATCTGATGTGTTTTTCAAAGGGGATGGGGAGACACATTAAAGGCTCAGTTCTATATGGTGCTCGGGTCAGTTGAGCAAAGCACTTAAGCATATGCTCAACTTTAAGCATGAGAGTAGTCCCCCAGACTTCAGTCTTGCTGAATCGGGGTTGGCATACTCAGCACCTTGCAGGATTGAGCCTTATGTTCCTTCTATAAAGCAGCCAGTTCTCATTTGCTCTCCTACACATTCAACAATTCTATCCTCAGATACCTCAATGAAAGTTTTGCTCAAGGAGGCATTGATACACGATTACTGAGAGCAACATTTTTGTTGAAAACATGAAAAGGTGATTAGTAATAAATTAATGAAGGGTAGTACTTCTCATAGGTTTTCTTCTCAGAGTTTGGAATGATCACAATATTGTTCATGTTCTAAAATATATCTTTTCATCCAAAGGTTTATTGTGGAAGTAGGTGATTGCAAAATACCTAATTACAATGGAGCTTCCTCCAAATCATTTGCTTTGTATTTTCAGTAGTAATGTGGTTTAAAAAGTGCTAGCTTTAGCTAATGATTCAAGCAAGGTATGCCCATGAGAAGTTTTACTGTATTAACTGTCACGTACATTTTACCAGTGTAATACTTGACACTTAAGAGTGCCTTTACCTCCAGAAGAATCCACATTTTGCTGATTGGGAAACGCGGGGGACATAACTTCTCCAAACTGAGAATCAGAGAAAGAACAGAACTGAGTTATTCTGATTCCTGGTTCTTGCTCTGAATATCTCCTAAAGGTCAAAACACGTTTTTCTCCCACCCCAAAGTAGCTTTCTTTAGTGCAGCTTTTACTTCTACCATAAATCACTTTTTGCTGGATTTTTATACATTAACGCCACGGAGGCCACTGATTTCAGCTGCAGTGTCTCTTGCTGCTGCACGCTTGTAGCCGATTTCTCACTGAAGTAGAAACTGGATCTCCACTGCAGAGGATCCATAAATTATGATATGAACATTGGTTCAGAAAGTCTGACTTTATCTGAGGACATGTGCTCGTTTGAGAGATTAATATGCACCCTTAGCAACAACAGAAGTAGTAAAAATAAATACTAATTAAAAGGCCATCTCAAATGCACTTTGATTACTGTACATCCATACAGATCTTGCTGCAGAGGTCCACAACAGCAAAACTATTACGAGCAAGCATCAACCTGGGAGAGAGACTGCTCAGGTTCTCTAGTTGGTCCCCTTAGGTATTTTACAGAATACATTTGGCTATAGGTAAAGAAAGAAATAAACGACTGACATCAATGCCCTCCTGAGATGGATACTTACAAAGCAAGTATCCGGAACAGACTGAATAGAACAGATGGAACCACAATTATCTCCTTTTTGCAAAATGTCCTTGAGTAACCGCTCCAATCCAAGACCGCTCGTAATACAATGCACCCAATGGGGCATCTTGTCTTGGGTATGGCCAGAATCACCACCTAACTGCATCCTGTTGCTTGCAAAGGAAGTTTTGCTAAAAGTGACCTGACTGAATAAGCAAGGGCGTCTGTTCTGAATATTTACTCCCTTCCTCTTCAGCAATAAAGCACTCAAGTTCCTTGGATTAGCTCATGCAAATGAAACTTGAGAGCTGAAGTTTAAGACATTTAGCACAGGCCACAGCAACTGGTACTCAAACCGAGACCCCTTCCTCTTAAGCTGTACCTCTGCAGACATGGAATCAAGTCGTCTTTGCCTGGGTCTGAAATCCTCCTCCAGGGCACCATTTACAAGCTTGTTGCTGGGCTTTAAGGTCAGGAAACAGTACAGACTCTGCTGGATTTTTGGTCCTTTATCTCCTGCCGCTTCTGAAGTTCCCTTGTAATTCGTCTCTTTATTCCAATTAAATAAAGTTCTCTGTCAAACTGCCCTGCAGCGAGTGGGATGCTAAAATATAAAGAAAAGCTGTTAGATTTGTGCAACGTGCACAACTTATGTTGGCTTAGAGCTCCATGATTAGTGAAGGACCCAACAGTAGCAAGAATGAACTTTTCCATTTTCTCTTGGACTAAGGCATCTGGTTGTTGCTCTAACATTAAGTGAAACTAAATGTTTCTCTACCGTCGCAGCAAGTTAGGCTTGTTTGGAGAGGCTAGATTGAATAGTAAAAAGGAAACACCCTCAATCTAAGCATGAAACTTCCAGTATTAATGGGAAACATACATGAGGAAGTGGCTGTCAGCACTGGACCCTTAAACATATGACTGTCAGTCAAATAGATAAAAGAAACAATAAATGTTTGGTTAACTATTAACTGGTCCTGCGAGTCTCGTTATCTAACTTCCAAGAAAAGTCACTCTGAAATGTGTACGGCTCCACAGCTCATCCCCGTTGTTCCGCGCAGGCTAAGATGGAGTTTACTTATGCAGGATCGGAAAGCCTTCCTCTTCCTCCTGAGCCCATAAATTACTTCCCATCCTGTAGCCAGGGAGCAGAAGAATGGGAGCAATGCACCAAACCTGTTTGCCTTCATGGAATCAGCAACATCTCTGTATTTATCATGTTGACATGGTCACATTTCACCCACCCCAGAACAGAGCACCTATTGAGTTCTGGAGATGGGCAGGCACAAACCCGCCCACATCTGAAACCGAGCAAACAGCAATTTTAACTGCACTGACTTCCCGAACACCCAGTCAGCACTGTTTTCTAATTTATAGATTCTTTAACATTTTTAATTACTTGGGCATGCAACTCACAAGGGAGACAACTAGCTCTACTGAAACACAACCACTTCTAGGGAGGGGGAAAAGGAAGTTTTGGGCAAGGGGAAAAGGGCAGCCCCCCTATTTCCTCTATAAAGGGCAATGAGAACTGTCTCTCAGATGAGCATCCTTATGTGGTAAATGCACTAGACTCAAGTTATCTCCCTCAGAAGGACCAAGGGGACTGGCAGGAGGGATTCTGCTATTGCCAGGCTGGGTTAAATGCTTTTTATTGTTTTCGGCACTGGGTCCAAACGTTACACAGAAATCACCCAAATACACTGCAGTGAGTTACAGGGGATTCATTCCATCTCAGGAGCTCTTGTGACAACATAAGCCACAAATTCCTGACAGGAAACATGTCCTAGGAACTCACTGCAGCCTGATCCACATGTGTAGATGCACAAACAGGTCACTGACTTGTCTCTGCCGGGCCTGACTTTCACCCGGAACAGCCCGTACACTGGCCTGTGGTCTGACGTTTTGACCACGGAACAGGAGGAGTACTTCACGGCATGGATGTCATCCTTGTGACGGCTCCTGTAGATCACTCGATCCTGGGAGGCCGAGAAAGAAAGAAGGAGGGAAACAGATGGTCACTCCCTTTTGCCTATCTGCTCTGGAGAGAAACACTTGTTCGCTAAAGACACAGGTTAATTTAAAACCGTCCACTTTTAAAAGTGCCTTGCAATCAAAGGAACTCAGAGTCCTGTGTAGGACTCATTCTCCCCTGCCCCAGCACCCTGGGAGGGAGGCAGCACACTGGAGCATGCATATCTGGCACTGCAAACCCAAGGATCTGCTTTGCATACAGCTCTACGTGTTGGTGAGAATTCCCTCTCAATGAGCTTCCATGCCGTACATGGCTGACCCTCTGGACTCGAAGAGGGATAGCTGTCCTTGCCGCATCTCACCTCCTATCTGGCAGGGGACTGGGGATCCTGGATCCATATATCTGAGGATCCACTGACCCTTCCCCTAGCTCACCCCCTATGTGCCACTCTGCTTGGGGTGATGTGGAAGTTTCCAGCATGCCTGTTTGATCAGGTAGACACACGGCGATGGGAAGGGCATCCCCATCAGTCACCCACGACAGGTGGATTTCCTCCCATAGAGAGCAACAGAACTGCTATCCAGCTGTGATGGGATGTTCACCCCACACTAGCCTGGAAAGTTGTAATGTGGCTCAGAGGGGTTAAATAGGCCCACGTGAGGGAGAGCTAGGCTTGACAAGCAAGCACTAAGAGAGACTGAAGAGCAGCTGGGCAGGAGCAGGCAGGGCTGGTATAAGGCCAGGAAGCCTGCAGTCATTCTCTGGGCTTACAGAGGGAAAGCAGGAGACCCAAGGGAGAGTAGAAGCCCTGGCCACGAAGGCAGGGTTTACCCAGAAGGGCTGTGGAGCGGAAGCCTTGTAGAGGTGGAGCAGGAAATGGCCCAGGGAAATAGCAGCAAGGTTTTGGATTGTGCAAACCATGGTCACTGATTCGAGATTCCCTGACCTGGAACCCAGATTAGTGCATGGGCCCAGGTTCCCCGATTCTCCACTGGGGAAGTGATATAGTCTTGAACTGGAGGACTGCTGGGAATGATAGCCGGTCCACCAGTGAAATTCTAGTGACCTGGCCAGCAGGCCAAGCCATAAAGAGGAAGCACCGCAACCCCTGGAGTAATAGAGAGGCCACCCGAGCGGCAGGAAGGGCATCAGATCATGCAGAGACATTTCCCAGATGCAGTCAGGAGGAGGAGCCCCAGCCATGAGTAGAGAACCTACAGTGGCCAAGAAGGATTGTTAGTCCATTCCCTCCCCAGAAGCGTGTTTATAAGTAACCCTGTACCGTGTATGAAGGCGTCCTCTTCTTGGAAGTGGTGTCGTAGCTATCCTGCCCTATATCGAACTTATAGGAAGGACGGAAATGAATGGCAGCCTCCTGGAACCCTTTGAAAATAGCCCCTGCAGGGGAAGGGGAGGCAGTATGAAGAACAAAGTGATTCTTCTCTAGTAACCAAGCATAACAGCATCTGGACGTTTACAACACACATTTTAAAAGCAGTTTACCAATCGGCTAGAAACTAAACCAGTAACGTACAGGGCTACAAAACCGGACCCAGACAGCATAACTGGGGGGTTAGCTAAAGTCTGTTCAAATTAAGGGTGAATCTCTAATAAGGGAACATTTAAAAGACTGGAGAACTAATACTTGGCATGTTTATGGTACCTTCCATTGAAACCCTCCGCATGCTTTGCAAATCAATCAGCTCTAAGCACCCCTGTGAGACAGATGGGAATTCTCTCCAGTTTACAGAGCAGTGAAGAGAGGCAAGGCACACCCCACCTTCGTGCAGGGGAGACTCCCCAACTCCAGGGCACTAGGACCCAGGTGGCGGAATTAACACGACACTTGCTGCCATCACATTGTTCACTTGTGTGTTCTGCCCTGCGTTTCTCTTGTCTGTTTAGACTGTAAGCTCTTCGGGGCAAGGACCGTCTTCTACCCTGTGTTCGTGCAGCAACCGGCACAATGGGACCTAGTCTTGGCTGGCCTGCAGGCACCACCATAATAGACGTGATTAATAATAATGGACTACCTTGGCAGGAGCATGTGGAATGTCAGGCAGAACCCAAGAATTCACATTCCTACTCCCCTACTTGGAAGTGTGATTAGATTTGAAAGCTATTGGCTTTCCCTTCCCAGAGACAACGCCCTCACTTATTTCAGTGGCTATTCAAGAAGTAAGGAGCAGGCTGTAGACATTCACATGCTTGGAAATCTCCAGTCAGTGGGGACTAGCAGTAGAGGGGAAGGCAGCAAGTCCCTTACCATCATTCATTTCTTTAATGAGCTGGTCATACTGCAGTAGCTTGGACAGGTCTTTTTCCAGATGCTGGTTCAGGATTGAATCCACGCTCTCACGATCCTTGTTTAGTCGGAAATTGAAGTCTCCAAACCAGAACACCTCGTCGAACCGAGTTGTGACGTCAGCTGCAAAGCCAAGTGAGACGGCCATCAGCCTGATTTCTGCTTTGGGGTGGAGCAGCAAGTTAACCCACAAATCCTTCCACACACACGGATTCTGTTCACATCAAGTTACTCACAAGGGCTGGATCGATAGGGATTTGTATCCGGGACATTCTTGGGAAGTGCAAGTGCTTGGATGGTTTTATTGTAGTCCAGTATCCTCTCATACACTTTACCATCCCCCGCTGAAAGAGAGATGCATAAACACTGCAAATTCATGTGGAAAGATGGAGATTTTGTGCAGAATATAAATACAATTGCCATGGATCATTATTATGTAGATTGTGGTAGAGTCCAAAATGTGCTGGGCACTTTCTAAACATGTAGGATGAGATGGTTCCTACCCTGAAGAGAGTACAAATTAAAAAGGCAGCGACAGGTGTGATAGGGAAAGGGGACATAACACACAGAGCATTTGGTGTGTCAGTAGAAGTTTGGTTTGTGAGTTCCCTTCCCTCATACTTCCCAACCCTGCAATCCCCAGCTTCAAATCCAGTGTCATTATGCACCACCACCCCTCCGCATGTAGGAGCAGTTAACTCTCAGGATCCATTAATGTAATGTACAAGGAGGTGACCTAATCGGTAGGAGTGATCTTCAGAAGAGATTTAAATGAGGAGAGGGGAGTCATTTTGTAGACCAGCCCTCATTCTTTATGGAGGGAGAGCGTGGAAGGAGACACAGATGTGGGAGAGCTGGACAAATGGCAATAAGCCTGGCGTCACTGGCAAAGTGGAGGAGATAGGGATGGGACAAAACTATGAGAGACAAAGGGAGATATATGAGGAGCAGCAGCCTCAAAAGCAAGGAGCCTGAACTTGATGCGACGGAGAAGAAAGGAGTCAGTGGAGGGATTCAAAGCAGGTGGGATGGAATGAGAGGCAAGAGGATTTTAGCAGCTGTTCTCTGTATGAACTGGAGGGGGCAGAGTGAGTGCTGGAAGACCAGAGAGGAGCTTACAGTAATAAAGCCAGAAGAGGAGGATTTAACTGTGTGGTTAGAGCGAAAGGCTCAGATCTCAGAAACGCAGCGAAGGCAGAAGCAGTAGTTCAGATATGCCAACAAGGAGTTCATTCTACACTTGGTTTGCTCACAGCTTAAATGGTGGGGTGTGCTATGGCAAAGAGGAGATTAAAATAAGGAATTCATACACTTTACCACTGCCAAGAGCAAAACACAGTAGCTCCATGTCGGAGTCAGCCTTAGAGCAGTAAGTAATACAGCAAATGGGCACAAGTATCTTGTAAGCCAGGTGAAGCAATTTCCGCCCCCCAAACAGGACATTTGTGTTAAGTATGTAACTGACTCACATGTGAAATGGGACGTGACGAAGAGGAAGGAAGTCCCAAAGAACGTGAAGCAGATTCCCAGGGCTCCCTTCGTTTTGATCTGAGACACAATGCGAGTGGTCACAGTGGCATATTCCACCTCTGCAGGGAGAAGGAAAGAGAAGCTGCTGCTGTTACAGGAAGCCCATTGAAACTGCATTGTGGGGAGGAAAGAGGGTGGGGAAGGGAGGAGGGGGCAGTCATTTAATCAGGCTGCTGCGTTGTTGATAGGGCTCCAAGGATCCCAGCTCACTTTACAAACTGTACATGCATCATTGCAGTACGCCCGCCCTCCGGCCAGGCCCCAGCCAGGCAGTTAGCAGGAACACACACCACCACTGGCTCAGGACGTAGGGAAAACACCTAGCAAGTGCCACAGGTTTGTGAAGGTCCATGTGGCACAGACAAGACCTCTGCTGTCAAGGTGGCATCTGCGAGACACCCACAGCAAAACAAATGTCACTCAGCTTCTCTATCTGGGAATCTAGCCTTCACAGAAGGAGGAACGATGCACCCACCCTGGTGGCAGATGAACCTCGAACTGAAGGGAGTCCAGAGGCTTCAAACATGAGGTTTAGTCCTAAAAGCCATCCCCTCCGGCTTGTGGTTCATAATAAATACATAGGTTACTCTGCTCCCAAGAGGTGCTTAGCGCTCACAACCCCCATGGAGCTCTCAAAAAGCCTGGTCCTATTTGGCATGGCAGGCTACTGATCAGAGTTTGGGCATCACAAACACTTTCAGCAGGTAAGGAGAATTTACACCTTTGACTGATGCCACTCTGAGGTTTCCACCCACCATTACAAGCCTCCCTGTCCCACACAGCGACAGCGCAATTTTTCCCTCTCTGTAATCTCCAGCGCTTAATTAACAACGTACCTGAGCAGAACCAGATGAGGTCTCTTCTTATGAACACTGACATGTAGAGAACTCCGTGTGCAGCTGAGTACAGCATGACGTAATGGGGCCCCAGCGTCTCCTGCAGACGGATCTCCCACTCTCTTCTATGGGAGACAACAAAAGCACCATGGCTACATCACAACTACAGGACAACATGGAGGGGAAGAGTTGTCAGTCTCTGGGCAGTAGGAGAGAGAGATGTAGCCCTTGGGAGGTGCCACAATGATGCCCACTGGTGATGAGAGGAAGGTGATGGTGATGAGGAAGACAATGGAATGAGCAGGCAGCGTGGGGAGCCAGCAGTGTGAGGGTGCAGCAACTGCTACCATATTAGGGTTTTCACGGCAAACCTCCTCTACCAAAACAATGGTGCACTGGGCTGATCTGAAGACAAACAGCTTTTTAAATTGAGGACGTATAAAACCTATAGGCAAACACAGTAAGCACCTTGTTGGTTGCATGCAGCAACTTTACTCTGACATAGTTTTACATATCAATAGATCACAGGAACTGCCAGAGGGCATTCTGAAATTCTTGGAAGGATGCTAAGAATGAATGCACATCCACAGCATCTTTCAGCCAGCCTGATGCCTAACTGTACCCTGGGGAGCGACCCTGCTTAAGGTCACACAAGTCAGCAGCAGAGCTGAAGGTTCCCACTGAAATCAAGAGTTTTGCTACTGCTTTCAGTGAGAGGAGTACCGAGCCCAAACTTTGGGTGATGATAGGTGGTTAGGACTATTATGAGGTTAAATAAAGACACCCTCTAGAACTCGTTTTCTCCTTATACTGAGGAGTTCACAGATTTATGAAATATAAATAAAGCACAAGGGGAATTCTATTCTGTTTTTTGGTGTATTGAAAACTAATTTAAAAAGAAGAAAAAAACCTGCAGTGATTAGCAAGTGACAAGGGTGGCTCTGCATTACACTGTTTCTGCTACCTGTCTGGACAGCCTTCTTGAACGCCAACAACATACATGTCCTGGGCATAGTCAGGATCCGATGGGAACAAGAAGTCATCCAGATTCTCTGGAAGTTCCTACAAAAAAAGGAAGAGATTCACAGCATCCGTTATGCTAGCATTTGGAAAAGGAGGGGAGGGAAAATCCAGAAAGACTTCAAGTTGAATGAGTTAATAAATCACTTACAACCACTGCTAATATTTTGTACTTACATAGCATTTTAGATCTGAGACGCTCAACATTAATCAAGTCTAATAACCTCCCTGCCCCATAGCTAAGCATCATGGTACCCATGCTGTAGATATGGAAATTGAGAAACAGGGGTGAAGAGTTTTGGTCAAGGTCACACAATGAATGCCGTGGCCTAATGTGTATTTTTAACTTCTCTCGGATATTTATTTAAGAAGAGTTTAGAGGCTATATACAGACCTCTTTAAAGTCCTGAACCTGCATCCCCCGTTGAACTCACCTAGTGAGCCTCAAACTCTCTGGCTCCGTCCCTAAGTCACTTGGCTGCAGCAATCTCAGGTTTCTCTGCTGTGCAGAGATGTAGTTACAATTATGTTCCCCTTCAGAGACATTCTCTCCATAAGCAGTTGTGCATCACACAGATTAATAGGGCTCCAATCCTAATTGAGGCCCTAGGGAGCACTCACAATACTAATAAAAAAGCAGCAGCTCCCACCTTCCTGCTCGCTATATATCAAATACTACAGGTCACAGAATTTCACCATTACAACAATCACATCTGCTCAACTGAGCATGTGCAAGAGGATCCAAGGACACAGGAGGAAGGCTGAGCTGCCATAGAGACTAAGCTACTCAGGCAGATGAAGATCAACATCATAAATATATTGAGAGTGACAATTTCGCAAGAAGCAGTGGTGCTAGTCTGTTTAACAAACACAGGGGGAAATATGCATCGCCAAGAGCCAAATTCAGGAGATTCATGTACCCACCTTCCGGCCTTGCATATTCCAGGTGGCCACAAATATTCCAATGCTCCGATCAGGGAAATATCTGCTCAGTTCTTCTGCTCCCAGCAATGCACCACTAGCTAGAAGACTGCCTTCCAAATAGCTTCTGTGAAACAAGGAGAGGGAAAAGAATTTTTAAAAACTCCATATTATTAAAAAGGCATATAAGCAAATGTTCTGGTTGCTGGAATCCTAATTTGCATCACTCAAGAATAGACCCAAATCTTAACAATATTTAACATTGTATAGTACTTTGTGTATTAAAAGTTCCTTTAAAAACCGAGCTAATATTCACAGCCCTCAGAAATGCAGCATTAAATATTGAGTTGCTTCCAGGGAGAGAAGACGTGACACCGAAAGAGGAATCTGGCCAGAACACCAGGGTCCATACACTCTCTTGTGAAAAGGGCCACAAGGTTTTTTAACACCCACAAGTGGTCAGTGTTGTTTGATATCTTAGTCAAGAGACAACAATTCTAGCAGCACAGTTCTACTCACTCTCCTATAACACATGGGCACCCGTCAGTAACGGCTCAGCAGGAATAATGAAATGTACTGAATCACTAATACTACTTCCTGCAGCACCAGGTGCTCCTTGGGGGTTTTCATATCCACTGAAGTGAAGTACTGAGCTGGCCCAAGCCTGCTTTAGCTTGGCAAATCTGATGAGATCATCGTCGCCTGAGGGGGCACCAGGCCATAAGCATGAGACACTAAAGATATGAAGCACACAGAACAAAGCAGAGTAGCTTGGAGTTCTCAGAGGTCTTCTTATGGAGGAACAGAACACTCAGCATCCTGTTTCACAGCATGCAAGCTTCCTGACTATACACTAAACCAGAAAGGACATTTTTAAACAGCCAAGTTGTATTAACACTCTTTTCAGTTACAACATCCCATTTAGAGAGCTCTCTGAGCACTGCCAAAGCTGCTTGCAATTCTCTCAAGCAATCCCCAGTCAGCCTCTGACCAATGCTCAGGTTGGTGTCAGGAAGCGCTATGATTCTAAGCCTTGATTAATACAGCCAGCGACTGCACTTTCTACATGTTATGCTTGTGCTCTCAAAATATTCCCCGCATTTCCTGGACACACATTGATCCAGCCCCAGTGTTTCTTCCTAGCATGCTGCTCTTCTGAGGAGCTTTGCCATAAAGCAGCCATTCAAAAACTTGCCCCTCCCATGACAGTAAATATAAGGGAACAAACAACTAATGATAATTTGCTCACTGGTCAAGTTACTTATTCCAGACAAACAGAATTCTGCAAGGCAATGGGCCATCTAGTAACAAATACTGTATTCTCTCTGCTGTGAAAAGAAGGAGAATATACCTGTTTCGAACATCCTTGGCACGAAGAGGGGTGAGCAGGCTGAACGTAGACTTCATGGAGTCTGTGGAACAGCTATCGCAGACCATCCCACGGTTGTGAAGCCCGGTGTCACTCAGGCTGCTGCTCAACCTTTCAAACCTGCTCTGAGAATAATGTTGGTAATCCATATAATCTGAGTCGATCCTATTAGCTGTCCTCAGCACGTGAGAGGCCACGCTGAGTTCCAGGGGGGGCAGTGGTCGAGGGGGTGTTATTTTGGACAGCCGGGGTTTGCTGCCTGAAGATTCTTTCCCCTGCATAAGCCCCACAGAGGCACTGGGAACCTCAGAGACCTGTTTCTCGGAATCTGAAATGCTACCCTTGTTCTTCCCATAAGGGCTCGCTTCCGGGGCATCCTGCAAGTTGTGCAAAGAACCCTGTTCGCCATTGAGTACCACTCTGCTCCTGGTGGGATGACTCAGGGACGACTCCTGGAGAGAGCCATTGGAGGAGCTTGTCTCATTGGGATCGATCAGATTTTCCAGACTCATTCTAAACACTCTCCTCCTCCTCCAGCTTTTCTCATCAAGAGATGATGCTCGCGCTAGCCTGGGTTTCCTGGGAGGCTTTGGAGTGACAGATTTAATCTTCATATTGGGTTTGATTTCATCAGGGGGAAATCTTAAGGTGTCATTTAAAAAGGATTCTATGTCTGGATGGTCCTCAAGTGCAAGCACCCTGCTGTCACCAGCCTCCTTCCTCATAGCTCCACCAGTCTTCTTCACTTGCTGGTCCTGTAGTACTCTGCCCACTGTGCTCGAAGTAATACATGCCACTGCATGCTGGGAAAATCCATTTGGAGGGTTCATTCTCCTCCTATGTACCAGCTATGGACCCCTCTCCATAGAGTCAGTCCCTCAAAGAGTCATCTTCCTTTACTGTATAGTTTTGGCTCGCAGCGTGGTAAGTTCAGGAGTTTGAACCGAAACACAGAGATCGGGAATGTGAATACACATGAGTCTTTTGCCAGGAATACAGGAAATTTATGTGAGTAGCAAGATGCATGGCTGGAAAAGCCTTAGAGGTAAGAAACCTGCAACTGCCCAAAAGAAACAGAACTGTAACAACCTGCTGAGCCGTATACTATAAACACAATAAAATCATGCTCTTGCATAGCCCCTTCCATCAGAGGATCTCAAAGCATTTTGCAAACCTTAACAAGCCCCCTGTAAAAAAGATTAGTGTTATTTCCATTTTACAGAAGGAGAAATTTAGGCCCAGAAGAGTGAAATGACTTCCCAAGGGCTGTATGTGACACTGGAAGTAAATTCCCACCGTGCGTTTTATAAGGCAGGATGTTTGTTCACTTTAGCAGAGCAGGAAATGAAAATTAAAATCACATACAAGTTACCACCCTAATGTTTTAGGCTTTCAGATGGTCACTCTGTGTGCTGATTCCATAATACAGGTAGGTAAAACATTCAGCATCAGAAATCAGTAAGTTTTCAATGATCTTAGGTTCTGTAATGATCCCATATCACCATAATCAATTAAGGTAGACCTGTGGCTGCAAAACACATAGGCCACTACCACTTGAGTTGAAGAAGACTCTCCCTTAGCTGCAGCAGCATTAGGCGTTATATGTGCCCCTCTATGGGACACAATCTTGGGATCCACAAAACAACTTCTTACCATAAAGGCAAGGTGCTTGTCCAGATAGCTACAAGCAAATTACAGTACAACACTGCATTGCTCAACAGTCTCACCTGACAGGGGTGAAATGCAAATCTTATCAGAGTTATCCTGTTAAATATCAATCAAGCCTGAATGTTATCTTAATCTTCTCAACACGTATTGGGTCAACATGTGTATGTTCTCCAGTGGCTGGGAGTCTGGAATGATATTCTATTCCTGGATTCATCACTGATTATTTATTATTAATATGGCACCAAACATTTACTAGGAGCTTTATGACCTTTTAACCTCTCGGAGGAAATTTACTCACCTGTAAAATGGGCATACTCCTATTTACCTGCCTCAGAGGAGCCTTATGAAATGTAGGCCTCACCTGCACACAAGCTTGCATAAGTTGTTGAACTGGTGCAAACCGCTCTTATTTTGGCTTAAGCGTGGCTTACTTCATTTTACGGTTCCTAACCAATTTAGAGCTAAACCAAAATAATCTAAAACCCTTTGAGACTCTTGGGTTCAAATCACCATACCACAGATTATTTTCTAAGGTACTTGTAAGAGAAGTTCTGCTGGTAATGCAAATAATAAAATTTTAGTAAAGCTACTATGGTGACTGGAGTAGCATAAGAGTCTGGAGAGAATAAAGGCAGGGTTTCTTTATTGGCTAAAGAAAAGGACTCCAGATTGGGCCTTAATTCCTGTTCAACCGTAACATTATGCTACCCCACAAAAGGGTGGGTCACTCCCAGAGCCTGGGGAAACTATTTTTATCCAAAGGGGCTGGGATTTTTCAGTGACCTGATGGACAGAGAGTCTAAACAGCATGGTTAGGAAAGGCCACCCCACTTGCTCCCCTTTTCTGGGGCAGGAACCCCCATAGCTAGGGCTGATAGTGCCAGAGCTTTGTGTTAGTGATAAAAACACTTATTTCACTCCAGGTGTGTGTGCATATGGGGACTGGGACACAGATACTGTGTGTGTCTATATATATTGGGGGGGGCAAGATAGAGATGGGGGGCACAGAGACTGTGTCTATCAATATAGCAGTGAGACACACCAGTGTGTTTGTGTGTGGTGGGGGGGAGAACACAGGCAGTGTGTGTATGGGTGGGACTCACACTGTGTGTGTATGTAGGGGGGGATACACACAGTGTGTGGGGGACACAGAGATTGTGTCTGTCGATGTGGCAGTGAGACACACCAGTGTGTGGGACTCACACTCTGTGTGTGTGTGTCTGTGTGTAGGGGGGACACACAGCGTGGGGGGCACACAGAGATTGTGTCTGTCGATGTGGCAGTGAGACACACCAGTGTGTGGGACTCACACTGTGTGTGTGTGTGTGTGTGTGTGTCTGTGTGTAGGGGGGACACACAGCGTGGGGGGCACACAGAGATTGTGTCTGTCGATGTGGCAGTGAGACACACCAGTGTGTGGGACTCACACTCTGTGTGTGTGTGTCTGTGTGTAGGGGGGACACACAGCGTGGGGGGCACACAGAGATTGTGTCTGTCGATGTGGCAGTGAGACACACTTGTGTGTGGGGGGGGAGACACACAGCGGGGGGGGGCAGTGCCCGCGGGGTGTGATCAGACACTGAAGTGCCGGGGGGGGCGGGCTGGAGACCCCGTGTCTAGACCAACAGGGGCGGGGGGGGCGCTCAGTCACCCTACGGGCAGGGGGGCGAGTCAGAGGCCGAGCGACCCGGCGGGGACGGGGGGGGGGGCCCCGCGGGAGGATCCGGCGCCGCCCTCACCTCCAGTCCAGCGAGCAGCCCGCGGCCCGGCCTTAGCAACCGGCGCGCTCGGCAGCCGCGGGCCCGGGCCGCCCCTGACAACGAGCCGCCGCGGCTCGGAGGGCCGGAGCCCGCCGCGAGCGCGCCCTGCCGCCCGGAGGGGGGACCGGCGCCCTCAGCCCCGGCGGCCCGGCCCCGGCGCAGCGCCGCGGGGGCGTGGAGGCACCGGACCCGCCCAGCCGCCTGCCCTCGCTTTGCCGCGAGCAGCGGCTCAGCCGCTCCCGGCCACGGCGCCCCTCGCAGGAGTCTGATCTGGCGTGGGTACCCCACCTTTCACCGCACTTCAGGGCTGCTTGCTTACAAAATCAGACCTAAAAATACAAGGGGCACAGCACCAGTGGTTTGAGCATTGGCCTGCTAAACCCAGGGTTGTGAGTTCAATCCTTGAGGGGGCCATTTAGGGATCTGGGGCAAAAATTGGGGATTGGTCCTGCTTCAAGCAGGGGGTTGGACTAGATGACCTCCTGAGGTCCCTTCCAACCCTGACCTTCTATGATTCTAAGTACCCTGCCTGCAAAAGAGAGAGAGAGAGAGAAAACAAACAATTTACCATCTAAATACCCCAAGGAATCCATTGGAATAGCACTATTGTGCTCACGTTTCCCTGTAGAGTGTATATACAAGTCACTGTCTCTATGCAATTTTCGTTTGTACCAACTCGGCGAGAGCTTTCTATGTAGCCTGTTGTAAAACTAGCCAAATATCTAGATGAATTGGCATCCGATGAAGTGAGCTGTAGCTCACGAAAGCTCATGCTCAAATAAATTGGTTAGTCTCCAAGGTGCCACAAGGCCTCCTTTTCTTTTTGCGAAAACAGAGTAACACGGCTGCCACTCTGAAACCTGTATCCCCAGAAGTACTCAGACCCCTTGTTGAGAACCAGGGGCCTCCCATTTCAGCCTTTCAACAATTTAGCAAGATGCAACAAGGGATTAAACATGATATACTAGGAGCCGCTATTTCTAGGAGATAGGATACAGAATTTAGAAGGGATGTTTCAGGGTATTAGACAACTGAAAGAGTTTAGGAAGCAACATTGTCGTCTATAGGCAGAGACTATCCCACAACTGTCCATTACATGGTATCCTACAGGTGCCTCGAACACTGTCAGTTCTGGCTGCACTACAGTGGAGCACTGGCTGAAGTAGGTATGGCAATTCTTATGTTTAACACCCATTCCTTTTTCATTTTTTACCCCTTAAACTGTACTAATTATACAAGTAGATTCTCACTAGAGTTAGCCAGAAACCCAGGTCGTTTGCAGTATTCTTTCCACCATACACTACAAAACGTGAGCAAGAATAAATGGAAACTTTTTCTGTCTCACCTCTGCAACTCGGGAAAGGAAATGTTTTTTAAAAATATACATGGTAGAGCAAATTACTAGGATTTTTGAAAAACTAGCACATGAAGTCTGAACTGATCTGCAATATCAGTAGGCGGCCCTATGGGAAATCATGAAGGATCACAGGAGACACCGTCTCACCCATTGCACCTGAGAGATGGAAGGGGAGAACTCAGTGCTTAATTTGTGCCAGTGCTTGGCAAGGCCGAGCCCTGGCTCCTCCAGGCTTGGCAATTCATAGCCCTGGCGTTCCTGCATCAGTTATCAATGTAAAAAAAATTGCTTGAGCCACAGCACCTCTTTCATTGCAAATTAAGCACTGGGAGGACTTTCGTATAAAATTTGATTTGAACATGGAAGTGTCAGCTAAAGAAAGGTGCCTAGAACTAAGGATGAGGCATTTCTTGCTTCTCAGACTTAGAAATTGATTGGAGGTTAGATACATGCTACTAAATACTTACTTTAAAAAAAAAAAAAAGGAAAAAACCTCATTGACTTGGGCCCATAAAGTAGGGATGCAACAGGTTTTAACTGTGCCTGTTCTAAGCAAGCACCTCCTACTTCAAGCCGTCTGTAAGTGGACAGAAACTAATGCAGCTTTTATCATGGAATCTTCCAAAAAAAAAATTTCAGTGAATAGGCACATCATAAATAGGATCAGTGCTTGTCATCCCAAACTCACCACTATATACAAACTAGCATCAAAATGCAGCTGCATTCCAGGTGGAGGGAAAAATTTATCCAAGGTCCCAGAACTTTTGAAAACTACCATAAGACTTTTAGTATCTATACCAAGAGAGGACCTCTGACGTAGATAAATTAAGTTTGTTGCAGAAGGACGAACAGCTGCCAGCATTTGAGCCTGTGGTTGCAGGAAATGCAGGTATTTCAAAAGTTAAGACATAAAACATGCAGTGAAGGTGTGAAAAAAAACTAATTATCCATATCTGAACTATAAAACAGCATTATTAACTTTAGTAAACTGGCTGTATCTGAATAGAGAAAACATAGTAAAAACAGAAACAAAAATCAAGAAGGCTGGCACTTAATACGAAACATTGAAAGCTAGGAGGATTTGATTAATATCTAGTCCGCACCATTGATGCTTTGTATAACATACTTGATTGCCCTGTTACTCAGTTAACAGTTGCATATTATAAAGGTAAAAACAGTGCGCTTTCTAAACCATTCCATGACAAATGGAAAATTCCACACACAAAAAAGTATCCAGGCGGAAGAGAAGATACTGACTACTTTTGATGTCGGGCTGCAGTAATGCAAACCCAATAGGAAACAGCACATTTATAAAACCATATAAAAATCAGAGGCTTTGGGAAGGTTACCCAGGGATAAATCCTTTAAAAAAAAACCTTGTCTGATATTTACTGAGAAGTGTACATTTAAACCAACTGTACTGCTTTTCTAATAAGCAGATTTTTTTTATATTGTTACAAGCCTGAAACAAATTGGAAAGTCATTTATTTACTGTAAAATAGGTTTTAATTTTGAACATTAAAAGGAAAATATTCACTTTTAAATCAGAGGTTGAAATATCAATTTCCAATATATACAAGTTAAAGATTAGTAATGGATAAGTGGCAATCCTTAAGAGGCAGTATTTTCTAAATTATTTAAGAAGCCTGAAGTGTTCAGTGATGTATCTCCAACTGTCCAGAAAAGTTTCCATCCAATTAGCTTGCTAACCAATAACCACAAGAAAAAGTAAAGTGTGAAAGTGCTCCAGAGCGCAAAATATTTTATTTAAGAATTTACAGCATCAAATCTAACACTTCGGAAAGACAGCAGCTCCCAGCTCAGAGGAAGCCTTCTTGAATTAAAAGATATTTGGCAGTCTCTGAAGCCAAGTATCTGAACAGGTTTTTAGTTACAAAAGAAAGCCACACTGACTGCTGCTGACCAAGTCCAGGATTTAGAGCATGGACCACTACCAGAAGGCTACTAATTCCTCCAAGTCATCACATTTTATTTCAAATCATGTATAATCCCTTTGGAAATATACATACGGCTGCCCAGATCTCAAAAGGTGGTATGTATTACCCAGGAAAAAGGGGGCGGGGAGGAATTAATTCCACATATACATTATTTCAACTCATGGGCAGAATGCAAGTAACATCAATCAGCTTCCTTGTCAAATCCTAAAGAAAGTATGACCTAATGATTTAATAAATATTTGAAGTTTATTTTCTCTCCTTGTGGGCCATTCAGACTTTTCAATGCATGTGAATGTTACACCTCAATGGTTTTCAGAATTTCCTATACTAAACCTAAAGCTTTTCAAGTCCATCAGTAGAGGTGTAATCCATTTAATTTAGTATGAAATTCAGTTGTTAGCTATTTAAGACCTTAGTTATTTTATTAACGGAAGTTCAAGAGCAGAGCATTAGGAAGAGATTCTGGCACTCAAAAGGAAAATATTTTTTAAACAACTTTCAAGCTGTTACCACCTTAATTATATAGTGCCAGTAGTTTGAGAGAGAAAGCAAGTAACCATATTGCACTTAAGAAGAACACTCACTCATCAGAAATAGTACAGCATTGACTATTTTACAAAGAGCTTCTTTCAGACTATACAATTTGTTTTACAAGGAGTCTAAAACACAACTACAGACATACTAGATAAAATCCAAATCAGACGAATTTCAGATTTTATTACAGTCACAGTTTTAATTCACTATAGGCCAATTTATTTATTTGGATGAGCTGAGGCCCCCCTCCCCTAAAAAAAAAATATAAGCATGTGAGGCATTTCCCAGATGAGCATCTTAAACCTTCATATATTGGCAAATGCCAGTATTGTTTTATATGAATTACAATTGTGCATGGTCCTGTTAAGGCCATAGAGTTTTCTGTTAAAAGGTGGACATATATGTCCTACATTGGGAGGGAAGTGTCCTTCAGAAATGACCCTAAAACCTAATTTATGTCTTCAAGTCACACTGGTAGGTTTAAAATCAACCGAAGAACTCCTCCCTTTGGTGGCAGTTTACAGTTGGTTTTCACAACAGACAGTAACCACATCCTTCCCCATTCATCCTTCTCCAACCCCAGTAGGAGATTATACCTTTCTAACCAGCTTTTAAGGGAAAATGTATATTTTTTCTAGTTTGGTAATGATTCATGTACATGAGCTACAAGTAGGGAGACCCATGACAAATGATCAGCCAGCATTAAATTACTGTCATGTCAATTTCAAGATTGCAATGATACTACTATGTGCCATAAAATTTGAGTAGTTCTTTGAATGTCCAGAACTAGTGTAAGTGTTCCAAACGTCAAGTCATTATATTCTATTTCAATGTTGGGTATTTTCTCTGTCCAATTCTCCCCAGCCTTGAACTTCCAGTAGTTGCAGGAGACTGAAAAAGATAAAGATTTATAAAAATCAAGCAATTGCTCTTCTCACCTACTAAAAATCCTGCAAAAATCTGGTTACCTTTCAGAACAAAGACTGAATATTTTTTTCTGCTTTGAAAAAAGAAGTTTAATACGCTGGAGGTCTAATCCAATTCCCAGTGATTTACACAGGAGCTGGACTGGTCCACAACCAAATTTAACATCCTAGTGTCAATTAAACACGTCACTACTATCCATGTAAACTGCTTAAATATAAAACCAAAGTTTATCAGAGATTCAGCTAGCAAGGCAGATAATGATTTGCTTGTCTGCTGCCATTAAGTATTAAGATGCTAAGCCACATTTCAGAAGTCTGTTGTAACACACCAAGATTGATTCTCCACAGGACAGGTGTGGGGTGTTGCATGTGTAAGCACAAATTCAAAAGTGATGAACAGGCTGGGCTAGGGAACCTGACCCGGTAGTAGTGACAGCCTGCTGCATGGCTACCCCATGATTCCTGTCCCCTCACAGCAAAGCCTAAAACAAGAGAATATTTCCCATGCCCCACTCCTTTTGACCCTGCATACTTGGTTGGGAGGAGCAGATGTAAGGGACTATGGCTTAGCACTTAATAAGATTAAATTCCACAACATTATGGAGGGCAGGGCAAACAGAAGAGATAGGGCCAAGTGATTTGTAAACTGAAGGGACTAGCACCATAGAAACAATAGGAGAGCTGTAGGTGTGGATCAGAAAGATGAACAAGAGTGAACAGGGGACAGAGGTGGAAAAGAAGGGCGTATGCAGAGATGAGACAGAATGAGATTAAGGGCAGAAAAGAAAGCAGAGAGTTTGTCTGTATGTTTGAAACTGGTACATCATGCCACGTCACTTTTTGAAGGCAGATATGAGAAGCAGACACGAAGCAAGAGATTTCACCATCACTATCAGCTATGTCAGAAATATTTTGCTACCTGGCTTTATTTTCAAGATAAAGGAGCCCACACACAGTTTCTCTAGCAACAATGAGGGTTTCACTCACTTGTGCAAATTGAGAAGGGTTGTAGAACTGAACAGTTCCTGCTGGAGGTCCCCCAGAAGGTGGCACACTACGGAGAGGCTAGAAAGCAGATTACATTCCATTAATTCTACGTATTATCTCTCCCAAGTTTTGTTTGCTTACTAGTAGAAAGAAGATATTATAGGCATTGCTACTCTAAAGTAGGTTCAGAGCAGCAGATTGCAACACATGGGTGCAAAATGTGTCAGCACTTTTTGCAACTCTTTATTATTATTATTATTACTATTTGCTTAATCTGTAGGCATTGGCAAAATAATATCACATGCATGAACTGTAAACAGCTCTGAAAATCCAAGCATGCAAAAACGAAAGTAACAAGACACCAGTGCAGCTTTACTGAATTAGTACCCTGTGGTTTTGTTAGTAGAGCTTAGGCCTCCCCCAAAAATAAAATGTTCCATCTGTGAGAACTGTTGTGCTTTATTGTACGTACAGAAAAGTTTTATGATGTCAGCTCTTTACAGTGCACTGAAACGTAATAGCAGAGATGAAGCATTCCTTTAATTCCTACAGGGGTTGTTTACAGATTAAACGGGCAAGGTTATCATTATTGAGTTCAGAGTATTGCAGCATATTAAGTGTTTTTGTTTGTTTGTTTTTAATTTAAGGCAACTGACTACTTTGGCTCTCTCATTAATGTAAGGACAGAGTTGAGCAGAATTACCAAGTGAATTACTTAAGAACATAAAAATAAAGCAAGCATGCCTAGATTACGTGCTTTTTGATAAATGTAATGGTGAAATTTTGAAGACCCTGTTTAAGTGTTAAAAGGAACACTGCATCATACGTTATTTTTAATATTAATTCCTTGAAATGGAGGAGGGGGGAAATGACTTAAAGTAGCATTAGTAAGAAACTGAGCAAATGCAAAATAAAGGGGGGAAAAGCCAATGTAAGTGAAAATGGCCAGCCACATGTACCTGATTAAAATGCTGGCTTACTTCACGTGATAATGAACTCATTGAACTAGAGCGCGAAAGCTACAAAACAGCAAGAACACACACATACAAAAAACAAATAAAAATGTCGTCATGCATGTCACTGCCCCAAGCAGTTTTCAGTCATTTTATTTCATTAAAAATGAAGTTTCACTCTGTGAAAGGTTTAAACCAATTTTGAATTAAAAAAAATGAAGAGCAAGAAGTTAGTTTAAAATCAAAAGGTTTGGGTTTTTTTTAGAAAGCACAAAATTATAGATAAAGAACACATTTAGTAGGAAAAAAGGTGACCTGGCATATAGCGATCTATTCTCCTCTTTGTGTGTCAAGCATTTAATATTAGTGAAATTAAATGCATGAACAGAGGCAAGACCCCAAAGAACTGTTACTGATACTTTGTTCTGAAAAGACATTTTAAAATCCTGTTCAAACAGAACAAGGTGCTCTTGCAGCAATGAAATTAAGACATTTAGCTTGTACTTTGCTTATGGAATTGAGGGGCTCTTTCGTTTAGATTTTTAGAGGCAGTAACTAAGTTTCCATCTTGGCTAGTCATCAGCAATTGAATCAGTTACTTGCTGTTTTAGATTATGCAGGTTAAAACTATTACAGCCTGATGGTTAAAATACGCTGCACAGAGGCAATAGCTGACCCACTCTGAAGCAAGCCTTACCTCTCCTGAATGGGAGCCATCTGGATTGGACCCAGGGAGTTCAGAACCAGGTGGAAGCATTGTAGAGTTTAAATACTAAAAAAAAGGAAAAAAAAAGTAACCCTATTCATTTTCAATATCTTAAGTCAGCGAGACCAAATTTAGATTTCCAATGGGATTCTGTATTGCTTTATGCTTGTACTAACACTTCGGAAGCAACCATAATAGAATACACTGAGATATAACAAAACTGATAAGGCTAACACTGCTGAGTAGGCTGCCATATTCTGCATGACCTGAAGCTTTTGGGTGTCCTTCAAGCATAGCTCCGAGAAGAGCCATTTTTACTAAACCATCCGGGATTGAGTCAGCTGAGTACATGGAGGTTCAATGGCAACTATTGCAGGGAAAGAATGAGTAGTCAGGAGGTCTAATTAGTACTCATTTGTACTATGGTAGCACCCAGATAACCCAAGTTAGACTGAGCCCCCATTGTGCTACTGCCACAGAGTCTCTGCTCCAAAGAACTCACAATGTAAATATCTGAAATCTACATCTTAAATATGTGGCAGATATGGAGGTGTGCAGAAGAGACAGGGTATTCTATTAATAGGTCATTGGTACTACAAAATTCTACATTTTGGGAGGAAGTCATAAGACCAAAGAATTCCTGCCCGTGTATTGACTGATATTTCAATAACGTAAATGTGGCTTGACTACACAACGTAGTTATGAGTCATAGGAACAATAAAGTAAATAGTACTGAAGCACGGAAAAGGTACTTCATCTCCACAGAGGGAATAGATCATGTCACTCTCAGGCTATAAATTACCAATGACATATAGAGTGACTACCGACATATTATATACACTAGGAAAAATAATTAAGGGGTCCTAATCCTATAGGTGCCCTGCATGTGGACCCATAACTGAGCACCTACAAAACTGTGGCCCAGGCAAAAGGTTTCCATCTTCCTTCTTCCCCTGTGTTTTCTCTTCTGTCTCCTTTTCCTAGTTTTTTCCCTTCTTTCAATAGGGATTATTTATGTACAGGTAGAACATGCCTTTTAGGTTATGCCACTAGGAAATGGCAACCATAATACTTAGTTTTTTCAATAAATGTTATAATTGGATACGAACGGTGGTTTGCATCTTTACTAACCTACCTGTGGTTCTGTAGTAACATCAGCGCTGACTTGATTTGCAGAGAATGTCTGTTCTCGTGCCCCGCTCCCTTCCATAGGTTGCTGTTCCTCAGGAACTACAGAAGAAACAGGTTTTAACCAAAAATGAACACTGTATCAGACCTTACAGATATATGAGGAACAGAATCAACAGCAGAACCAGGTTTTCAGAGTAGCAAACTGCAATCAGCGAATGAGCTGAATTAAAAATCTCATTTGAAAAGTTACACTGGTTTGATTATATTCAAGGAAAAATATATTAGATCTATTTCTATTATTTCTTCCATCTCCCCTCAAAGATGGTGGGAAGTCTTGTTCAATGGATGAGCGCACAGCTAATTATATTACTATAGTTAGCCATATGCAATACAAGCATATACATTTTATATGGGAAACCTTGGAGCAACACAGTAAACAGAGGATCTATAGCAAGAAAATATGCTGGTAAGGCCCAGAAAAAGTGATTCTGGGACAGAAAACAGCAGGTGAGAAAGAAACGAGAACTGACGCCAAGCACTTAGCAAATATGAATAAGGGTTGATGAATGATGTCACCTTGCACAGTTCAAATTTTGGGGGAAACAAAAGCACTATTTGTCTAGCAAAGAACATACTTTGCTTAATCAGATTGCTTTATGAGGTGCTCTTTGTGGGTTCTAGTAAAAACTCCCATTTCCTGTTAAATAAAAATAGAGTTACTATATAGCATCAATGTTTAAAAGTGTCACGTGGTTTGGAGAACAGGTGCTGGACTCACTCAGATTTGTTGTTCTGAGGTCCTAGCTGCCCAAGGCAGCTAAGACATAACCCCTCTTAGTACACGTTTTCTAGAAGACGAAGTTTGTGAAGTGCAGAGCTGTAGCTGTTTTTGCCCAGTTGCCATCTCCAGGCTAACATGGCATTCAATGCCTTTTAAAGTTGTTTTAAAGTTTAGACCAATAGTAACAGGAGTTAACATTTTTTGGCACTTTTGATACATGTAATGGATAAGCATCTGTTAAGAGGTCTGCTACTTGCAGTTTATCTGCATTGGGTTTACACACCTGAGTTTGGAACAAACAAGTTTGCAGGGATAGGCATTGGTGCCAAGGGGGCAAAGAGGTCTGATGGGGCAGGAACAGCACCACTGCATTTCGCTCCACTTGGGTTTAGAATGTCAACGTAACGAGCTCTGGTTCCTGCTGAAAACAGGACAACAAACATATGGAAATAAGTCAGCTTGAAGACAGAACAGGTCTTCTGGTTAAAACATCATTCAGGATCAGAAAAAAGTAGGCCCAAGGATCAAGATGGTAAACCCTGAATCACAGCATATGGTGTTGGCAGCAATCACAATTGTGATGCTAATTTACCCAGCAAGGCCAATCTTGCCCACAACTCCATGACATGGCAAGCTGTCCAGTGCTCATCAAAGAAGCCACCTCCAAAAGGGGTGGCAACTTTGCCTTAGGGTTCTTCACAACAGGGACAATCTTAAGCCTTCCCCTCTATCCTGGGGACTGCCATTCACAACCATGCGGTTACCTGCTTTTCTGGAAAACATGTTGACACCAGGTGGACCCCCGGGCCCAGGTGGAGCAGTCTGAGGAGCTTTAGGAACCCCGGCTGGAGGTGGTGGCAGTGGCTTGCTCTGGAAGCAAAAACCAGTATTAGCCTTTGAATGGCATTTTTAAAACAGACATTTCTCTTTGCTGTTTTCCTTAGCCATTCCATCACACATGTAATTGGACACATTCCCCACCCTCCCCAGTCTAGCTCAGTATTTCTCAACCTTTTCAGGCAGGCAACCCCTTATGTGAAATCAAACGTTTTCAGAATCTCCTCGCATTCACCACAAGCATTAAAAAAAGTAACAGCAGCAATATTTGACCTTAAAGAATAAGGGTGTGCAGAAAATGTGATGCCTTGTGACACCTCCTCCTGCCCCCGCCAGGATCATGACTCTGAGTGAGAAAAAGCGGTCTGAATGGTGTCAACTCTCGAAGGCCATAGTCTACTTTCAGTTACACTGGTGTAAATCAGGATAAGTCCCCTTAAGAAACATCACAGCACTCATTGGATCCACACCAGTAACTGAGGGCAGAAACAGCCCCAGAAAACACATCACTCACTCTGATTTATGTAAATATTTACCAGTTGCAGTTCATGTCATACTACATTTTAACCAAAGTAGCCAGCAAAGATGGCTTTTAAGAGCCACTATTTGGAAGTCCCATTATCTGACACTTATCCACTCAGGCAAAGGAAAAAGAGAAACTCCTCAGCATTTTACCTCCTCTTCTGGCTCGTCTAAATTAACCCAGCGCTGTTTCTTTTCATCCCAAACAATCTATGAAGAAATCACAGTTCAAGATTAAGAGTGCAAATAGGTAACAAGGCAAGTAAGCAGCAAATCATTTATAATATTAATTTTGAAAGCCATTTTCAGAATTAGGCATTTTGAAAAACTTAATGTATAAAGTTTTGTTTGGCCGCAAGAAAAAAAAATCCATACTCTATGGACTAGAAACAGTTTGAGCAAATTAACGTGTGTGTTGTGTGCTGCAGTTTAGGGCCCTTACTGATTTGTTCTTATCATCTGGAAGGTGAGCTTCATTCTTTCCTTTTCCCATCAGCCAGCGAAACCAATTTGCACCACTCTAAAAATAAATACAAGGCTTTTTAGTGTATTCCTCTAAGAATCTGCTGATAGCAGATTTAAAAATCTAACTTCATACAATTCCATTTCAATTAGTCCTTCATATAAACTGTATTCCAAGACAGTTTAAATGATAATCAATAGAGAAAAATTAAGGCTCATATGGAAAGGAGAAAGATGCTAGTAGTTGAAATCATGAATTTCAGTGAGGCAGAGAGATACAAGATGCCTGAGCCAGATGTAAGAAGCTGCAGAGGAGAAAGCTCTTCTCAGCTGAGACAGGTGTATGGCAGGCCAAGAGGTCAGTGCTAACTGAGCAGAATGGAGTAGGAAATGGGGAGTCAGACAAGTTCTGAGAGATTGGCTGAAGTCAGAGAAGGCAATTTTGAACTGGCTCCTGAAGAGAAGGAGAAGCCAACTGCAATGTGTGTCATTGCTTCAGTTCATGTAACTTTAGTGCATGCTGGAAAGCCACGTAGCAGCATTTTGCACATGCTGGAGCCTGGGGCCTGCGCTGAACGTGTGGATTGAGGCTGCAATAGTCAAGACGAAATGTTCATCTGATGATTCAGGTAGGCAGCCTCTCCCCATTTTAGCACCATGATTTACCATAGGTGCCATTAATCATTGCTACTTGTAACTAGATACCCATTTTAATTTACCTTTCTCGCTGCTGGCTCCTTCTTGATCTCTTTGTTGGTCTCTTTCCCTTCAGGAATGGATGGAGGAGGAGGAGAGGGCTGCTTTGCTGCAGAGTTGCATCTTTCTCGTCCTATAGAATGGGTGGAGGATTCTGAGGTGGTCCGAGATCTTCGCCCATAGCCCTGTATTACAAATATGCAGGGATTTTAAACCATTTTACTACTAACCCAGAGGGATTATATTTTATTTTGCTTAAGAAATTCCTTCTTTTGAAATGTCAGTAATAACAGAGATGCAAAGTCATTAGAAGTGGGTGAAATGTAGGTAGGAATGACGATATAGTGAAAAACAGCCTGGTCATGGCATACCATATGTGCTGAAGACTGAGAGGTGGATCTGGATCTTCGTCCCGGTGCCTGGTTAGATACAAAGTCAGCACATGCTTAATAAGCAAGCAATTAAACAAACTGTAGACAGTACAGTTCCCTTCATTTCCAATTTTAATTACACATTCCCAAACAAAATGCAAGCCATTTGAATTAGTTGTTGAGGCACATCTTTACCCTCTGGTTTAGGTACAGAGGCAGAGAAAGCTGAAACCTAACTATGCTTTCACAGTAGCGTGTCCAATCTATTGAAGAGGTAATCGTGTCAGGGCATCCCACTGAACACACTCATTAAACAGCTATCACCATTGAGAGAGAGGCTGTAAAAAAATTTAAAGGTGACTGATCTTTGCTACATTTTCTGTATGTGATCTTTAAATTATTTTTTAAAATCTTTTTAAAGCAACTTTGGTATTAAAAATACCAGAATTTAGATTTGTACATTTATTTATTTAATAAGTGGTTAACATCACTTCATCCATTGGCAGTACCCAAATGTGTCCCTATTAAGCAAAATTAACGTTAATTCTGTTTCAATTAAGCAACTTTTATCTCATGAGGCTAAATCAGTTCCCTAGGAGATGTCCAACTTAAGTGACTTAATGCTGAAAATACCTGCTGTACAGTAAAACAGATGTTTGTGGCTAGGTTTCGAACACTTATGTACAATTTGGATAGCACCACCAATTGTTCAGGGCAGGACGCCTTAAGTGCAAATCAATACTGCCTTTTAAAAGCACAGTCAGCAGACTTGCTCACTAGGATCTGCTTTTCTCTCCCACTGATGTAGCTGGGTCGGCATATGAACATTTTAAATCCAACAGGTCTGATTTTCTACTTCCATGAGTATTTTAAAATAGTAGGTCTCATGTTTCTCCTGGATTGTTTCTCTTCTGCAAGAAAAGACTGGATTGGTGCTGAGGTGCACTAGTATTTGAGAGTGCCACTGAATAATGAGTTCCATATTTGCATAGTGCGATTTGGAGAAAGCACTAAGGATGTATGATGTAAAAATACCATGTTTGCCATTTTTCCATAGAAATCCTCCTCTCTTTGTTCAGGGAAAGTTTTTTGAATTGGAGATTCCTGGGGAATTCTCTGCATTGCTTGAAAAAGAAGAACAGAGTAAGTTAGTAAATTTCAGTGTTTTTCAACACATAATAGATGTCTAAGCAGTTGCATAAGAACTGTGATAAACTTTACCCAACTTCTCATTGGTTAGTGATTCTAATGCTGATTCTAGATTCTAGAGAATGTGATGCTTTAAAGAATTAACATTAAATTTCAGGTCTTGCATAAACTGCATTTGATGTCTTTTTTTTTTTTTTTTTTAAAGTTTATTCATGTGTATTTAGTTTCCTAAAAAGGAGGGTCAGAACCGGCTAAGTGAGGCATTCCTTAGGATGGTGCTGTGCGAGATTCTTTGCACAGCTCTGGTCAGTGGAGATTAGCCTTCACATGCAGCATCTCCTACTATTTAAATTCTATGATTCCCACAGTTCTAAACATTCACTTTCAGCCTGAGGTGAAGAACTTCCTCCAATTCCAATCATGAGCATTTCCAACAGAAACTGCCCATATGACGACATTAGGTAGGGAACAGGCGGTGACTCACTTACTTACGCTGGATTTACGTCAAACCTTAAGTCAAACCTGATATGCAATGCCAGCAGTACTCAACTCTTCTCAGTGAGATTCTTCGCTTTCTTTTAAGTTTTCACTCTACACTCAGTTACCCAAGATTTACTTCACAATTTTAATTATTGAAACAAGCTGCTGTGCACTCAATCTCCAAAAAGACTTCAGTGCCCTTAAGGGCAGGGAAGACATTTATTCAGAGCACAAACCTGTTTCCTGGTTTAACTGCTCTTCTGGCCGTGGTTCTGCTGCTTGCGGAGGTGGTCCTCCCGGTGGCATTGTAGATCCCAGGTACAGTGAAGACTGTTCAGCTCCATATTGATTTGGAAAGCCTGGTGGTGCAAAGCCAGACCCTGGCCCAATAGAGGGAGGGGCTACAGGATAGAAAGGAACACCAACAGTTTCTTGCTGAATAGGAGGAGTCACAGCTGCTGATTCCTCAAGGATAGTCTGAGGGGCTGCAGAACAAAATTTAAGAAAATTACTAGTAATAAAAAAAGAGAGATATGGTCTAAGCACTGGACTGAGGAGCCAGGATCCAATTCCCACAACCTCATCTGTAAAACACAGAATATGTGTCTACTTTACAGGGATGCATTTTACTGTGAAGAAGTTATTGCAGTTCATGGGCAGTAGGTCTTTTTTAGTCTGTATTTGTGTATTTGACAAATGTTAAGCAAGTCACCATATCAGGAGACCTCTCTCTGAGGAGGATCTAATACCTCCACATGGATAAGCTCATGGAATGCCTACTTGGGAGAATAGGCCTCAATATTCCCATTGTTGCTGCCTGGCATTTTTTACGTCCTTCGTTCTCACACTTGCTTCTGTCGCAGTAGTGAAGCAGCAATAGGGTATGAAGCAGCCGACGTACAAAACGAAACATGTCGTTCAAAGACAATGACAACCGTTTAAAAAAAACCAGTAAACTCCTTTGAAGTCAAAAGGGGACTGTTAAACACTCCCAGTTATGTTTCAAATATCATCTCCTATTTCTGTCCCCATTACAAAGAAGACATGAGCCCGATGCCTTTATGGGGTTTCTATATAAACTGTACAATCTTTACATCCATTAACATACGATAAAAAGTTAACTGGCAATTACGTAAGGAAGTGTTATGCTGCATGAGTCAATCTCCAAAAGAGCCAATTTATAACTAAAATGATATAGCTTAGAAATGAAATCCCATTAGTTTTACTTTTAAATGATTTCTCTATTTTGTAGTCCACTGTATTGGTTCTTCCCCTTGACACACATGGAGAACTATGTGAAATACTAACCTGAAGGCATTAGCTGCACACCTTGCATGGGGTACACCGTATTAGGTAACAAGGATGCCAACAATGGGTTTTCAGTAGCAGGCCCCATTTCCTGTCCAGATCCTGTTCCATCACACTGACTGATATGGTCTAATTCAGAGCTTGGTGTGCTACAGGCATACTGCTGAGGGGTGGATCTATCTGCATTGTAAGCTATCGTACCATCCTGTTGTTAGGAGAAAACAAAAGCCTATTAACCACCATAAGATGTTAAATTCATAACCCAGGAAGAGCTTAACAAGGAAAGTCTTCTAAATAAAAAAAGATCATTTGTTAGTTTCTTGAAGGTGAGGAAGGGAAAACTTTGCAACTAGATTTTCCATTCACAACTTTCTCAGGTAAAAAATAAGCAAAGGGTCACTGTTAGATCAAGTTCAGCCCCCCAAAAAGATGCTTTAAAAAAAAAAAAAACACAAACACACAAGCTTTTGCAAAAGCAAAGGCAAGTTTAAGAAAAGTTTTTCAGGTTTTATAAAAAAATAGAATCAGTGTTTTAAAATCAGCATACCTCCCTCTTGCAGTGTTTGTAACTTAGTTACTACGATCAATACTTACATGCTCACCTTTCTTCTAACAAGTGCATCTCTGCTTGCTCCTATTAAAGCCTTGGAGCTTTACAGTTTTCCTTGCACAAGGATGCATAAAGAAGTCTATTCCACACACACACAGGGCCATCCTTAGGATTTATGGGGCCCTATGCATTATTATTAAACTGGTGCCCCTATTCCTGACGGCAGCCCGGGCTCACATGTGTATTTTAGATAAGGATGGTCTTTTGAAGGATTTATTTAAAAAACAACTATGAAGATCCAAGTATTTAAGGTTAAAGATGAATACTCAGATTGTACATCTAAAAATCTATGCAAAGACTTTTAGAGAGATGCGATTTTATAATATTCAGCAAAACACTCATGAAATATTTTTAAAGAAAATTTTAAACTAAGGTCCTGTAGGCTAACATGTTCTGAGTAAATATTACAGTAATACACAACTGTTTTTGCCAGTAAATTCAGAAACTGACAGTATATAGCTGGGGGTTAGCACAGGGGTGGGCAAACTTTTTGGCCCAAGGGCCACATCAGAGTTGCAAAACTGTATGGTGGGCCAGGTACGGAAGGCTGTGCCTCCCCGAACACCCTGGCCCCTGCCCCTTCCCACCCGCTGACTGCCCCCCCTCAGAACCCTCAACCCATCCAACCCCCGCCCTGCTCCTTGTCCCCTGTCCGCCCCCTCCACGGATCCCCTGCCCCTAACCACCCCCCAGGACCTATCCACCATCCAACCACCATCCAACCACCCCCCCACCCCCGGCTCCCCGTCCCCTGACTGCCCGGACCCTTATCCACACCCCCGCCCCCAGACAGGCCCCCCCCGGACTCCCACGCCTATCCAACCGCCCCCTGCTCCCTGTCCCCTGACTGCCCCGACCCCTATCTACACCCCCACCCCTACCTGCCCCTCCGGGACCTCACCTTCGCTCCACCCAACCACTCCCTGTCCCCTGACTGCCTCTGGGACTCCCTGCCCCTTATCTAACCTCCTCCCCCGCCCCCTTACCATGCTGCTCAGAGCAGCAGCAGCAGCTCACAGCTCTGCCGCCCGCAGCAGGAGCATCGGGCCAGAGCGCTGGCAGCACGGCAAGCTGAGGCTTCTGGGGAGGGGGGACAGCAGAGGAGGGGTGAGCCTCCCCGGCCAGGAGTTCAGGGGCCAGGCAGGACGGTCCTGCGGGCCGGATGTGGCACTCAGGCCGTAGTTTGCCCACCTCTGGGTTAACAAATGCCTGTTAAATGGCTTCATTACCACTTGAATGGCTCTTTTAACAGTTTCAATGTTGTGCTAATAGGTCTGGCAGGCTGTAAGGCTTTTTTTACTTTCAATTACTAGATCTCCTCGGGAGGAAGACTCACCAGGCTGCAGCAGCTGGCTGTGGGAGCCTGCTGCAAGGATCAGAACAGGGATAGGAAAAGGCGGGCGGGTGGACACTAAGACCCAGGGGTGCCCCAAATGTTCGGGTGCCCCACACAGCCGTATGCTTGCGTATGCCTAAGGATGGCCCTGCACACACACACACCATCTTTCAACTATTTTACACTGAAAACTGGGGCACCCACAAGACTGCACATCAACCTGATTTAAGTGGTATGCAACCGGGTAGCTTTAATATGTAAGAAATCAGAATTTTCTAATTCCCATCTATTATTAGACAAGAACAAGTGCACCACAAAAGCATTTTATGAAAAAGATCTTAAGTAAAAATCTTAGCATGGAACCCTTTAATTTTGGAAAGCAGATTTTATACCTTGATCTGTCCATCCAAGTGCCGAAGTCGTACCAACCATGAAGGTTCAATAAATAATTCCTGCTCTGGTTTCTCTTTAATCTGTGGGTCGAACAGGCGCAACTGAGATGATATCTATCAAAGGAAGCATTATAAAAACAAACAAAATTGGTAAAGAGGTAAATAAAATGGAAATTTTAGAGATTTCTAAGCTATCATTCATGAACCAAAATGTATCAAGCCATGAGTGCTTAATTCTGAAAAGTACTCATCCCTATAGTACCTGAATAAGTTGGCCGATAAGCACAGGCGAATAATAGTAGGGATTTTTAAGAACGGTTTTGGAAATCACTTCACAATAATGAAACGCTTGTGCAGCAAGTCCCATCTCAGCTAGTCGGCAAGCATAGATGAATTTGAAAACCTGTAGAATGAAAGAAGGTAAAGTTATACTGCATGGCCAAATCATTTCTAAAGGTATTGCAGGGCAGTTTGCTACTCCAGCCGCAAACTGAAGTATCCCATTATCACATGTACTCTAGATTTAAAAATGAATAGTAGTCAAAAAGCTTTCAAAGTGTTCCTCCACTCAAGTTCTACAAGAGGGGAGTCAGATTGTATACAACAGGTACAAACAAATCCTGCCTGATTTCTTCTTTGAATTTTAAATTCAGTCACTATCTAATTTAGGTTCTGGAAGTCTGGAATTCACAATATTTGCTCTTGGGGAAAATCAGATTTAGTGGTTAGCATCAGGAAAATCCTAGAACTACACAGTGCAATGATCCAGGTCATAAATGTAGAATTAAATATTTAAAAGATCTACATTTATTTGGATGGCAAACAGAAAACAAAGATCCAGAATTATGGGGTGATTTTTTAAATGTTTAAATCATTCCTGAGTTTAACTTTTGTTTACACTAGAAAATTACCTTGCATTATTTTCATCATCAGGAGTCTTTTGGGAGCAGGTTTTTGGGAGGGAGGGAGACAGAGACCAGGCCCTTCAAGTACTTGAGTATGCAACGAAAGTGAACACCACTCCATTCAAAAAAAGGATAAAGAGCACTTCATACAAAACCTGTGATACGACATTAAAAAAAACAGAACCGCTACTAGCCTGGAAATTGGGTAAACAGCAGGGCTGCGTTCCCAGTGACTGTGCATATTCATAGGATTCCGTTCTTTGAATGGCTTCATTGGTGGCAAACTTTAAAAATGGCAAGCTGAGAGAAAAGTGGAAAAACAAATTAATTTTGACATATTACTTCTAATTTAGATCATGTAATGTTACTGGCACATAAAAGTTAGTCACATGATATTACTGAGTATAAAGCATCAGATCAAGAAACTTCCATGCTTCAGAAATAAGCAGCTAAGTCCTAAACAACTTTGGTTAAATAATTATATATTGTGGAGTGTTACTTTTTGTGATATTCTAACCATTTCCTTCTATTTTCATCTTTTAATTTAAATAGCAAAGTTTTACAAAAACAAAAACAAGGGCAAGTAATTTGAATTCCACACCTGTGATTTGATCCAATTAGGACAAGCTTCGTTGTTTTCTTTGTATAAACGCCAAACCCGATCTGGGCCATCAGGTAGCAAAAATGAGCAGCATCTAAAAGGCCTTTAGAAGCTGAAACAAAGCACAATAGATCTCTCATGAAATTCTATCTGAATGGTACATAACTAATTCACAGTATCTTGAATTGTTTTGGCTCTTTGTAATTCCAATTTATCCTCACAAAACAAAAATCCGCAGAACTAGAAAAGGTATGGTTTTATCGTATAAGTAGCAATTGTTTTATGAAAACTAACCCAGCAACTTAAGTTTAAGAAAACCCTTCATTTGTTCAGAGCCCACATCCATTCCATTGCTCCCAGTATAAACAGCCCTGCTGTTTACCCACTTCATTCTCCACAGATTCAACTTCAAATTACTTACCAAGAGTATCTCCCATGGTGGTAATAGTCCTTGATTCCACATCCATGTTATTGGTCAAGTTGGATAGCACCATAGCCAGATGAGGCCTCCAGTCTCCCCATTTCTCATCTCCACAGCACTAGATTAGAAGAGGTACCCATCAAGCCATAGAACAGAAGGGTGCATGGATAAGAATTACAACCTGAGTAAGGGCTAGAATATTTTTTGTGTACTAGATCAGGTATGCAAGAACAATGGCCATACTACTGGTCCATCTAGCTCAGTAGCCTGTCTTCCAACAGTGGCCAGTACAGATGCTTCAGAGGTAATGAACAGAACAGGGGAGTTATCGAGTGATTCGTCCCGTCATCCAGTCCCTGCATCTGGCAGTCAGAGGTTTAGGGACACCCAAAGCATGGCGTTGTACCCCTGACCATCTTAGCTAATAGCCATTGATGGACCTATATTTCATGAACTTACCTAATTCTTTCTGGAACCCAGTTATATGTAAAAGCATATTGCTAGTGTGCTGTAAGAGGTAATTCACAACAGAACATATACAAGTCTTAATTGAAGCTTATTCTTAAAACTCACTGTGGATGCTGCTGGCATTCTTCCAGACATTAGCTGGTAAACAGTTTGCAGGGGATCATTAATTGGAAGACTGTTGGCAAATCTACATAAAAACAAAAATAAAAATAATTATAGGTAAGCAGTTAACACGACTAACATTTTTATATTTAGTTTAGCCTTGAGAAAGGAGTACATTTTCAAAGCTCCGCAGTGAAATAAGTGTAATTGGCCAGTGAATCACCTTTGAAACAGTTACTGACTAAATTATTGGACCCGCAGTACAGTCATATGCAAATACAAGCCTAGGAACAATCTCAAGAGTCGGGCTCTTAGTGCCAGCAGGTGTAACACTGTTTCAGACACTGTGGGAGGACAGGAAAAGCTCTTATGTACAGACAGTCCTTGCTGGAAGATGGTTGCTTTTTTCGAAATAAGAAGGAGTGGGGGCATAACATTATTTGGGTATTAAAAGTCCCAAAAGTGAGTGGGGAAAATAGCCACCCAAAACTCTGAAGGAAGACAAGCATACATATAGAGTATTTAATCCCTTTAGTGTGAAAATCTGAGTTTATTAAACGTGAAATGCAGCTAATTCCTCCACTATTTCCCCCCTTCCCCCCCATTTTCATTAATGTACTATAGTTTGTATGGCATAATTCTATCAAAGCAAGGAAGATCTGTCAGTCAGCTAGTAAGTCAGTTTACGGCATGGTTTAAGATCCATAGAGGAAATCACGTTCCAGTGAAGGTGGTAGCAGAATAGCTCTTGACAACAGTTGTAGCAGTCACTGCAATTCCATGAAGTCTAACTTTAAAGGCTAAAGTCCCTGAAACTAAAGCTCCAACATGACTTAAGTCAACACACAGACAATACATCTAAAGCAGAATCCCTGCATAAGCACAGGCACACATCATAATTGTGGCCTCAACTTCTGAGCCACAGGACTTTACCTCATTAATGGGAAATGAATGGCTATTCCATACTAGAAGCATATTCTAATCATCATCATCAAGCAGCAAATCATTACCTGGTCATGACTCTTGCATGTGTTCTGCTGTCCATTTTACTGGCAAGAAGCAGAGCATGACCCCATAATCCATGCTTCATGGCAGACTCCAAAGCATCCTATTAATGTAGAAAGCATATGAAAAGTAAATTAGTTTACTGGGGAACAAGTTCAATACACCACTCAGGACAAAGTACTAATGATTTCTAGTGCAGATATCTTGTGACTATGAACCGAAAATGATCATTAAGTCACATGTTAGTGTGTTACAATATAATTTGGCTTTGAATTGTGAATTCTTTGGGGCAGGGAATCTGTCTCTTTACTGTAGCGCGCCAAGGACATTGATGGTACTATAAATATTACATATTATATACATTAATATTTGTCTAGCTTTCATTTTTATTACCTGACATTTTAATTATATGCAAGCCACTAGGGCTTTAAGGATACGTGGGTTTTGGAACAATAAATCCAAGTAAAAAAAAAAAACTCAAACAGTACTTTAAGCAACAGTGTGACCATTCACCTTCTTACGACCATAAAGCAGAAGTTCCCTGAATCTCTCTGTCTCTCTTTCAAGACTGTCAATTGTGGTTATAAGACTATCGGTGAGAAATGAGAGTTGAGCTTCACCAGACTCCTCTTCCACTTGCTCCAAAGCCTCATTAGTGAAGTCAATCAAGTTTGCTTCATTGGGCGATTTCCCAGGAAGCCAGACTGTTTTGTGATCCCGTAGCAAAAGCTCTGCAATGTCTGTGCCCACTACGGTCTATAAATGAAACAAATTCAATTACTTCAAAATATTTCAGTCAAATTATTTCAAACACTTGAAGTCTAACGAGTTAATTAACACAAATGATGCAGTGGGTTGGACAAAAGGAGATAAGATTGGATTAGCCAACTCAGGTGTCCCAGCAGGACTATAGAGATAAAGACTCATTGCTCTCATCTTATTTGGCACTTCAAGCAGCAAGATTAAGGAGGAATACCTGCCTTTTGAGCTTTTGACCTGCATTCTTGGCCCAGTACAAAAAACTTACGTATTCTTGCCGCCTTCACATAAATGGAGCTGTTATATCTTAAGATTCTTATCTAAAGCCTAAAGATAAAGGCTCTGAAAACTGACCTTCAGGGCATCAAGAGAAAGCTTACAAAGATTTAAGAAATAAGACATACCCCATTCTGTCTGCACAACAATACAATAAAATCCCAAAGCAGGCTTGCAGACTCTTTGTCAATTAGATTTTCATTCTGAAAGCACTGTGTGGCTTTGTTTTGTGCAAAATTAATGACATCCACTTTATGGGTATCATCTCTGAAAGAGGAAGAAAAGTATGCAATGAAACAATGAATCAGTATGAAGTGCCAGACATCATCATCACCATAATAAGTAATACGTAGAACAGAGCAAAGTCAAACCTCCAACAACATTTAGGCTTGTGGAATATAGGTAAGAAATATCTGATCAAACCCAGTTTAAATCTATTATTTGTGGCCATGCAAAATTACAAAGAAATATTAAGCTTGAGAACAAACTTTAAAACAGCTTATCAAATCCTTAAAACATACTTAGCAAGAGGGCCCGGAAAGGCTCTCATCTCTTCTTGTTCTGGCATATGTTGCAACATAGTCTAAAAAAAAAAAAAAAAAATACAAACCATAAAAGCATGATGAGAAGCTCTTACATCTATAAATTCCACTATTTATACAGTAATTCATTTTGTACTTAACAGTGTATCTAAAATTAAATAAATAAATGAAAGCTACACATAACCTATGGTGTCATCTAATCTACCACTCCTGGACAGCATAGCTGTGTTCCCTATAGTATGTTTGTTAGGGCCCTGTCCAATCCCATTTAAATATTTTAATTAATTTCCATGAGAGATTATTCCACAGCACAAGATCTCATGGGAAGTTTTTCCTGGTATTAAGTCTACATTTTCCTTTTCATATCTCCTTGTGACAATCTAAATAATTCCTCTGTCTCCTGACTGTGTACACCATTCAAATACTCGTAGATAATTGTGTTCTATCTTGGTCATGTTGGCCACATTCTACTCTTTCCCCATAAATCAGATCCTGCAACTCACTTGTTACTCTTCTCTGAACCGTCTCCAATCTGTCCACATCTTTCTGGTGACCAAAAACTTTGTATTCCTTTGGCCCACTGGTGGAGTCACAAGAGAAAGGGAAATACACACAAGGTACTTATCTCCTTCCAACTTCGGTACGTCTACACAGCGCGCCTCCGAGCCTGGGTCAACTGACTCATGCTTGAGCTACTGCACTAAAAATAGCTGCATAGATAGTGTGGCTCAGGCTGAAGCTCGGAAGCTTAAGGAGGAGGTGGGCTTGAGAGCTAAGCTGCAATGTCTACACAGCTCTTTTAGCATGGTAGTGCAAGCCCTATGAGCCTGAATCTGACAACCCGGGCTCAGAGATTCACTGCCACAGGCTGTGTAGCCATACACCAAGATAGCAAACCATCACCATCGCAGTTGGCAGAGAAAGGTACAAACGCTCATGTCTCAATCAATGGCTGTACGTACACAAAAATCAAGACCCCCAACCTTCCTAGGACTTGGAAATTCTTTTTTAATTAATCAAATGCCATAGTGAGAAAAATGGGTTTGCGGAAGAATCGAAAGTGAAAATATAAGGAAATTTTTACAGAAGCAAAGAATCAACATTTGTTTTTCTATAAACTAATGCACACACAACAGAAAGCCATAACATAACTGAAGTGCCCTATTTTCCCTTTAGAAAAAAAAACAAGATTTTATAAACATAAAATGTTTGTATTCCTGGTGTACTTTTGCTTTACCTCCATACTGTGTATCTCAACCAAAGCCGGCTGTCCTTCTGAAGGCAGGTTTGACAGCACTTTTGTCAGATGGCCCCCAGGACCAAACCTTGCACAGACATGAGGCACTAAAAATTTCTCAGGTGTTGAGGGTCTTGATGGGACTACAGTAGAGAGAAACATCAAAATCAAGTGACTTAATTACCTTTCAGCAACTTAGTTAACGTTTAATTTAGTTTTCTATATAGTTCTTATCACAATCAAAGCAGACATGAAACAAACTAGTTACTGAAGTTGGCTAAACACCATCTTCAACAAGTTAATAGCTATACTGTCCTATCAAATGCAAGACACAGTACTGAGAGCAGACCCCTCAGAAATTTGAAATCATGAGAAAAAATTCTGTACAGAGAACTTGAACATTATTTTTCCCATAAGAGATATATTGCTTGTCAATCCCCAGTATATTTCTGTGCATTTCTATGTTTTCAAGGACTTCTGACAAATATTTTCTTTAAAAACTACAAATACTTTTTGATATGAAAAACTCTATTTAGAAACAATGCTGTTTAATTGCAAGAAGCAAGGTAAATAGAAAAATCAAAAGATTATATAAACAGAATTGTTTCTAAGTTATGTTTATTTTAAAGATTCTCCATGAATTAAGAGTAGATTGAATTCAAAGCATGCTTGGATTCAAGAGAGTTTTACAGCATCCCATTAGTATACACATGCTTCTACCGCAAACCCGACAAATGCAAAATAAGTGTGCAGTACTTAATACATAACCAGTGGCAATTATTATCTGGCCATAAAATAACAGAACTGTTCAATGACAACCCAGGATGGAACAAGCAAGGACTGTCCTCACAGTGACCAAAACTTAATTTAGGTATAGCTCATCTCTATGACTCTACAAATCGGGAACATTACATTCAACTGTTATCAGTTTAACATCTATTATGAACACAGGTGTCTTGACTACCAATAGGTTCAATAAACGTTTGTAAAGCATTTTAAAAGTTGAATGAAAGGCACAAAAGCAAAGAATTGTTAACTATCCTCTCAACCCAACCTTCCCGCACATTTCTGCAAATACCTTGTTCTACAGATGGCCATCCAGTTTCAGCTGAGTAGCCATAATCTGTAAAAGGCTGTTGACCATCAAAATTAGCAGGGTATCCGCTGTATGGATAATCTGTGTGAAGTGAGACTGGCTGGGTGGTGGTTTCATATGCATTAGCCGTCAGATCATGGTTGCTTCTATAAAGCTGGCTCTGAATAGAACATATTAGTAATTGCTGCATTAAAGACATAATAGCAGGAGGGGAAAGAATCACATGGGCTGAATAATGTGGCAAGCAGGACTGAGGAGCTTTTTATCTCTCATTTAGCAACTATATGGGTTCCTTACAAGTATTTAATATAGTAAGTTGCACAGAACTTTCACTGGATTTATGAAAGCTGCACAGTGAATGAAGTGGTATAATGGACTTGAGCTAAAATAGTTTGTCTATTTTAATGCTCTACTTCCCTATGTTCCTCTCTTACAATTTGATTTGCTCACCTCAGACTGCACTTGTGGGTTTACTTCTCGCTCTGCCAACTCCTTCCCCTCTTTTTTTAAATGATTATTTGCATGTGTATTTTGCCAAGAATAAAAATTCACAGAATGATTTGCAGACTATAGTGCTGCTTCACCTGCAGCTCAGCCAAGATCAGAACGACCCCACAACCTTTTCTTAGTGCCTCTCCTGACTTAAGAGAAAATCCATCTTGATTGAGTATGGATACTCCGTATAAATGCCTGGTTAACCTCCAGTTCTCCATGTCCAATATCAAAGAAACATGTGGCTCCCAAATGGATGACTAAATTTAAAACTATATTTGGATTCCTGGAAGGTTAACATATGAGACCACAGATAATGCAGATGGAAATTCCTACTAACAGTATACAAGAATCATCTACCAGTTAGAATGTTTCATGGAATTATCTGTGCATTTGTACTTAAAATTAGAAGGGTAATTTATTTTTTTTAAAAAAACCTTACAGTAGAACACTGTTCTGTATATCAATCCAACAGCCTCGACTCTTTACATGTATTCCAAGTTTCAACCCAGTATTAGTTTTTATGCTTGTGATGCTGGGAGGAACAGGACATATAAAAATAGAAATGTGGACACAGTGCTCCCATTCCCAGTGAATTGTAGGATCAAGCCCTTAACCAAAGAGACCATTTCTTCCTACATTCTTATGTAACACCAAGCACAACTTGAGCCCCAGTTCTAATCAAAGTCTCGAAGAACTACCAAATAAATATTTTAAAAATCCAGCATACACTGTGGCACAATGTTCAGTCTCTAGTTGATGAATATGAACTTTCAAAATGTGCCTCTATTACCCAAGCTCAGAACAGAAATAATTGCAACTTTTGTATGTTTATGATCTTCCACTAGCTGCTAGAGATTTTGTCCAAGAGATTGTCAGGTAACCCCATTCCTAACATCAAGCAGGTTAACAGAACAAAGTCAAACACATGATGCACTCATATGAACTCACTTGCTGAGAGCGAGAACTGAAGCTGCTCTGATGGCTATGAACACTGTGGGAACTACGGAGACTATGGGCAGAATGTTCACTGTGGACACTTCGTCTGTCAAATTCATCACCATAAGGGTCTCTGTGAGGCTCAGTTTCATCATCAAAGCTTCCAGCAAAGCGAGGATCATATCGCCAGTGATCTTCATATCGGTCTTGTCTAAAGAGGAATGAAATATGAAAATAGAGATAAGAACCTGTATCTTGGGAAGAACTAACTTCAGTGGATATTTGTGTCCATTAACTAGAGAGTACGGTTTCAAGAGACCATGTCACAAACTAGGCCACAGGTATAGGTTTTGTAAAGTAGACAGTCCAAAACCTGATTTAATAGAAATATCTTCAGTTATTTTTTCCCTTGAAAATATTTTCTTGCTGTGATTTAAACCCAGCTTTATAGCAAGTGCATGAGAACCAGGAAGTAAAATTGACTAATCTTGTGTTCACTGTCCAAAACGAAGTGCAAAAAGTAAACAAACAATGGAGTAGCGTTTCAATTTTTTAGTAATCACGCGTTAGTAGCAAAAGTATAAAAATCAGTTTTTAAAAAGACATGATTTTACCCTGACAGTATCCCTTTCAACTTGAAATGTTGTTTAGAGACTAATTGCAAAAATCTAGGTTTTTCAAAATTAAGACAAATATCCCATTCTGAATCCATCTAAGACAGAAAATTTGAAGAACATCGTTTTCCTACTTTGGTTTCTCCTTAGACTCTGTACTAAGTCATTTAAAAAGCTAGTTACAAAACAAGTCCTATTTCCTAAAATCATTCTCTCAAAGCTGGTTTATCCAATGTACCTCAATTTCCATAACAATTCTCCTTGCCATAAAGAAAACATGCAGACTGATAAAGAACACTTTAAAAAAATCCTGTTTTAAACCTCAAACATTTTTATAGTCTGTCATGCAATAGATTTGCCTACTTAGAGTAAGACACTTTCCCTTGAAATGAATTTAAAAAAATGCTGCCCAGAACTTTACAGAATAACTTGAAACTCTGAAGCTTTCTGGATAATCAAAAGTTTCAGTAAATTACACTAAAAAGCCAGCTCTCAAAGCCTACAAATACAGGGCACGGATTACAAACCTGTTATCATATGGATATGCCTCTCTCTTTTGGTATGGATTCTGTTCAGTGTCATACCAGTATCTCTGGTCATAACTTCTGGGATCTCTATATCTGGAGTCATATGCTGATGGGTAACGTTCCCAGCGACTTGGATCTTTAAAAAAAAGAACGGGTTTAATCTAAAATCTTTGCCCAGTTAGTTGCTCACAGAACTTCTCTATTTGTTCCCTCCTGAAATGCATACACCTATGTTTTGTTAACATCTGAGATAACTACTGTACAAATCCAATTAAAAAAAGCTTTCAAAACAAAGTTGAGATACTAATTTTATTAGAAATATGTTTACTCATACATTTTGCCATAACCAGATGAGATCAAATAAAAGTTATGAACTGTTGAACTGTAAGCAAAAAAGCTATTTATCAATTTCATGTCCCTGTGATAAATTTGGTTATATCCAAGTGTAGTTATCAGATTACTGTTATGTACCTCTTCTGGATACTATACTGTACTCTTTCAAAGGGATGGTCTCTGCAATCTAATAGATCTTTTCATCTAAATTACTATGAGGCTAAGTTATGATAAAATTATTTCTACAAGAAGATATGGAAACCCTCAATATAAAATCCTGGAGTTTGGAGGAGAGGTAGTCTTGGAGTAGGAGAAAGAATTGCCTCTAGAATCCCCTATCCACATTGGTCTGATAGAATTCAAGGACTGATCTCCAGAACACTGTTACCCCATGGGTGACTGTGGGGCATATTTGTGCAGAGCACTATATTTTGAGGTAGTCCATTTATGTTCTGATAATTAACTAGTTTTCCAGTGATGAAGAATTTGTCCACAATACATCTGCTCAGGCACAAGTGATATATGTTGTACACTACAGCAAGCAATTCCATACATGTGCCACCGTATAATTTTACCATGATAAATGAAGGCAAAAGAAAAGTTTGATCATTTTCCTCATTGTCAAATAGGGAATCAAAACAATGAATTCAAACGTAATTCTCTGCTTTTCCCTCCTACTGAACCAAGGATACAGAGATGACAGCAAAGCATTAAGGACCACTGCAATGCAGGACATCAGTTTTCAACAAACTGAAAGCTTTATTCTCATTAGCTGTGGAAAACATGACAATTTCAGTAAAAGACAAGTTTAGTTTTATAACAGTTCTCTGATGCTAATTTTAATACACTTCCCATGTTTTTTCTGAACTACTCAGAAAAATTTAGAATTCATTGTCCAACTGTACCTCCATAATTATATGGGTTTGCATAGTAGTCTGCATAGTAATCATTCCAACCACTTTTTGGATTATAATAATCTTCAGTATACCCCTGTCTGAAAGAGGAAAAAAATACGGGCGATAAAATACCATGATTAAAAGAGGCATAGTGACTATTCTTACAGTTGTTAGAGGATAGACACAGCTGATATTGCTTATACTCACTATGACAACAAAATTTCTAGCGTTATAGTTTTTAAAAAAATGCAGTTACAGGAAGTGGAAGGTTCAGGGAACTAGAGCCTATATACCAGAACATCACTAATACAAATCATTCCGTGCCATCAGTGACTGAAAATTGTTACCATACAATAGCTTAGTGGCTTGTGAACAGATTTGTCAGTCCAGTCACTTATGGACAATTAAACATATCACAAAAGCCATTACTACAACTGGCATTCTTACTGGCTTCTCTACTGATGCTGCCAGTATAGCTAACTAGGTATTGAGATAACGATTCTCAGCTCTAGAGCTATGAGAGGTCAGCCATATTACTGAACCAGGCACAAATGTTTGGTGGGGATCAACTTTTCCATTTCTGCAGGATTAATTTTTAGTAACCAATGCCACCAATTAAATGAATCTGAAAGTCTCTGTCCACACCACAAACTCACATAATTGGTAGTGTACACTCAGTGAGTGCCTGAATAGGTCAAGAGAGGTGCAAGCAGCGTAGCAGTGAGTGGGAAGCTTGTAAAGACAGCATCCACTCTTGCAGGAGTGAATTTGATCTGATAAGATTTTGTCAACCTAGACTACTTTGGGAGAGATTTTCAAAGGCACAAAAGGTAGCTAAGGCAACCAATTCCCATTTGTGTCTTTGGAAAATCTTAACCTACCATTGTGAGCCAGGACCATGAGTTATATCAAGGATTGTGCAATAAAACACTGATTTTTAACAGAAGAAATGTTATTTTGGTTAAAAATAAAAAAAAAGAATAATTTAGTTTTGCTCAGTCTTAGCAGGGCAGATATGAACTTTATAAAAGCATTAAAAACATTTAGACAGAAGGGACAGTAAAGTTGTGTTATTGCAGAAACTGACACGAAAATTTATCAACCCAAACAAAAATCTACTTGTCTGCTCTCTATTATGATAAAGAAACTAAATTTTATTAATCTCTTAAACATTTTTTACAGTAAGTGGGCAAGAATAATTTTACAAGGCTGTGATTCCAAGGAGTGTTGAAATACTATCTGTAATAGTGATGATGTGCCCTGAGAACAGTGCTATCAAGAGAAAGCAACCCCATTAACTCATCTCACCATAAATTCTCACTGTTTTTGGAGGTTCAGATGTGCACAAGACTATTGCAGCTGTTTGTACTGCTCCTTAAACCCATAACTTCCTCCATTCCCTTTTAGAGGCTGTCAAATATTATTTCAGGAGAAGGAGGTTCCATAGCAGAATTACTGAAGATATAGCTGATGGCAACTGGTGTGAGGTTCATGCTTTCCAGTGGACAATCCATTCTCTCAAAGCCTGTCGACTTCTTTGTCATTGTTACAGCAACATCTTGTGATGGATGAAAAATTCATATAAATTACTCATGTAATATTCATTATAAATTAGTTACCCTTGTGAAGGGTAACTGGCTGCTTCCTGACTGACATGAGTAATTTCAGTTCATCCTCTTCCTTCATTTTATTTTATTTGTTAATTGTTAAAAAGTTTATCACCACCACAGTGAAAGTCATCACTGGAAAAGTTGACCTGATACAGAACTGTGGCCTTTTTTATCTGACTCACAGCCCCTCTCCCATCTGAGAACAAAAATCTATGTCTCAGTCGGCAACATGTACTGGTATTTTTTCAAAAGCAAATCCCAGGAGGTACATGCAGAAATGTCATTTGTTAACAGGATTGGAGAATGTACCGCTTACACACAGCTTTGTAAACGTTACTCTTAAACTCTAATGAGAGGCTGTACCCTGCATTGCTTTCTCAGTGGACAGACAGAAAATAGAGAATATCAGTACTGATGCTATTGTTGAGCCCCCTCTAAAGGGAATAAGACTGTAATGACAGCCTACAAATGGGCATGAAGGAAGGCTTAAGGAGCAGTAAGGAGATGACCGCAATCTTACCATTGTCATTTTATACATGGCATTGTGTTCCCTCACCTCTAAAAGGAGCAAACAATCTGCAATTCATACTTTTGGATTATGTGTTTAATAGCATGTGTAGTTTAAATTGTAGAATGTTTTGTCTATATTGACAGACTCATTTCCACCATCTAGCTCCCATACTGTGAGCTACACAAGATAAAAGTTCATTATGCATAATTAAATTTAATCCATCAGGACACACTAAACCTTTGCATAGTTCCCTAATTACATACCTAGAAGGAGGTCTATCAGAGCACTGACTAGCTCTGGAACTAGGACGCTCAGGCTCACCATATCGATAACCACCAGGCTCCACATAGGCAGCATTGCTTCTACCATAGTGATGGTAGCGGGGACCATATTGTCCATAGACATCATCCTCGAGAAGAGAGGTTTATATATTACCAACTAGTAAGTTAAAAAGTTTGAAAATCTGACAAGGAATAAAACAAAAACAAAACCTGCACACATTTTGCTATGGCTAACCCCTTTCTGAACACTCAATTTCTCTTCTTCCTCTCCCCACCACCTTAAAAAAATTGAAATTAGCACCCACGAAAGATGCTGTATTGACAACCATGGATGCTGAAGTGTATTCTCTTGCCACAAAGGGTACAGATGGCTACACTGTTCTCTGACAATGTGCCTTAAAACCCAATTTACGAAAATACTTCTGAAATTGTCAATAGTCCCACCTGGGAGGTAGGGAATTTTTAGGATTTGGACATCCGTCCCATTAGGACAAGGTTGAAACCACCATCTTTTTCACTCAGGCCCAGAAAACAGTGTTTAGATAGCAGTCACTGTCACTCCTGGAAGTTAACAGTATTAATACTCATTTCTATCTTAAATCTGTTTATAATTTATCCACCATTTTCAGTTCTGTCTTTATAAGTCTGGGTTTTCACACTCCTGATTGTAAATTTATTTTTCTATTAATTTTGATTCTGCTTTCTGACATCAGATATGTATCATGTTTGTTAGCTTAAAGCTGCCAGTTAGCCTTTGGAAGGATTTTTTGGTAACATTTTCATTACTTTCTCATTACCTACAGTTTTGTTGAGTTCTTGCATTATGTTATTGACATTGTGATATCTCTCTATAATGAAATATAAAGTGAATCTTTCAAGATAATGCTATATTGTTGATCACTTCAAACACTTCATTAGGATTCAAAGACAAAAAAGTTACTAAAAACATCAATACAATTATGAGAGAAGAGAAAAAAGTTCCTGCTCTACCTGGTAATAGAGATGAGCTGCACTTCTAAGATCCAGGGGAGGGTAAGGCTGTGGATATGGAGTCTGATAAGCATCATAAGGATGTCTGTAATAGTAGTAAGGGTTTTGTGGTGGCCCACAGGCATCCTGAGGAGTCTGAGAAGGTGGTGGATTCTGCTCTTGCTGCATGGCTGGCATGGCTCGCTGACTGGTGGTAACAGATGCTGATGAAGTTGGAGCACTCAATGACTGACCAGAAAATGGTTGTTTATCAGCACTTGTTTGACTATAGCTTGTTGGTGGCTGTGTTGAACTACCCTCTGGGAGACCCGCTGGATAATACCTATTAGTTGGCATCTGATTCTCTTGTCGCTGTGGTGCTTGGGTAGGTTTAATTCCTGAAGCCATCTGATAATTTGAAGGAACCAAGGACTGCCCAGAAGGTACTGTTTGCGGCATTTGAGCAGTCTGCTTTTGTTGCTGAGAAAGCAATGCCCCCTGTGTGGCTCTGTCTGATGGAGCCTGAAGCTGCACATCTTTTGTTACCTGTTGATAGAAATGTTGTTTGTCATATGTGTCTGGCCCCATCTGGCTAGCATGTTTGACTGGCTGTTGAGGAAATACTGGACCACAAGAAAGTAACGGATTATGCATCTGTCCAGGATTACTGGTCTTGCTTTTGTCCAGTGTCCGTATTACTGTAAAATCAAGTGCTCCAGAATTTTCTTCATGACTATGTGAGTCATTTGTAGAATTATTATTAGGCACCATGGTATACACTGGTGGGACTAACACCACACTTGCATTTCCACTGGGGAGATTTGTCCCAGGAGCAACAGCTGAGTCAGATCCTGGTTTACTAGCAAATTCAGGCAGACAACCTTCTGAATTAGTATTCTTTTGACCTTCTGGAGCCAAATTAACTGGAGTTTGAGATGGAGGTTGCATCAAATTTGTGGATTGATTTGAGGTGATTTCTGAAGAATTAACAGGGCTTTGTAATAAATTAGAATGTGACAGATTAGAAGATGGAGGCATATTAACTGAAGATCCAACCTGCATCACAGACAATGACACATCTTCCCCAGGGAGGATCCCACCAGCATGTGGAGCTTGGAGTCCTGTTACGGGTTTATCTTCAACTCCAGGATCTTTCAGTGAAAGATTATTTTCATTCCTGGTTAGCTGATTACACAAAGAAAGAGAAAAATTAATTGGCTGAGCCAAATTATAGCTTTGATTAGGCTGGGCAATCAAAATAGGATGATTTTGCAGAGATTCTGTGGGTGGAGAAGACAACAAACTTGCATAACCTGAACTTGCCTGAGACTGAAGTGCCTCCTCTTCTCCCATTTTGGGAGGATTCTCAAGGTTTTCAGAAGATACATTTCCAGGCTGGGACGGCTGCACAGGAACACACTCTGGTTTATTTGGCTGCTGATTGGACAGCCCTTCTTCGGGCGGTTGAATAATTTCCACTGTCTGTTTAGCAGGTACATACACTGCAGGAGCAGCAGGGGCTAGAAGGACATTACCCCCAAAGTTAGGTAACTCATTGTGAGCCCAGAGAGTTGTTGCTGGACTCTCACACTTTTTAGTTGCTCCCTGTGCTCTAGTTGAGGGTCTTTTCTCAGGTACCAATTGTATGTTTTCCACAACAGGTCCACTAGCAGGTTGCAACATGTTTCCAGATTCACCAGTGACTGTAAGAGGCAATGTATGTACTTGGGGCATGAAAATAGTTTCCAGGTTATCTGGCGGCTGTTCAAGATTACCTGGTGAGGCAGCTGGCATAGCCATACTTTTCTTAGTATTCTTTTGGTTTGGGTGGTTCTCTCTTAGTTCAACCACCATTTTCGCTTGGTCAACCTCTGCAGGTTTTACCCCAACCCCATGGGACCTTACTGGTTCAAAAGAACTATTTGCACTTGTCTGAAATATTCCTGTAGGTTTGGGGGGACTTGGAGTTTGAGGCTGTGACAGATTACTATGGTAATTCTTGCTGACATTTGGCTCACTCGAATCTCCTCCCAAAGGAGAGGAGTCAATCTGCTTAAAGAAACTGGCAGAGGACTCCTCATCAGGCTTCCCACTTTCTTGCTGAATAAATGTACCAATAAGCTCTTGAGGTCTTGTTGAACTAGAAACACTCCTGTGGCTTATGTTACTGTAGTTTGAGGATACACTATCAGATCGGACCGGATGAGGTAACAAGTCGGGTGCCTCTAGATTTGGTCCTCTTTCTGCATGGCTCACAATGGTGTTCTTTGGAAGCAACTGCCCCGGTAGTGACCCATATCTGTACAGATCAGAACCTACACTTGGGGACGAGCGATTAATATTCTGTGGTTCGCTTGGCAGAACTTCTTGATTCTGAATGCATTCCAGGTTCTCAACATTTTCATAATGTGACCCAACATTCTCATGAGCTTTGCTATCATTTGCTTTGTCATCACTAATATACATAGAGTTTTTACTGGTCTGTGTGTCATGCTGGCTGCTTATAGTTTTAGAAAAATATTGGACATCCATTCCCTTTTGCACTGTCTCATTAGCTGAGCCTGTGCTAATCTCTGGTTGAGAGAGAACACTAGTTGCAGCTTGCTGAGGATGCAGTGGTTGGTGATACATATGTCCTGAATTTAGCTGACAAGCATCATAGTTAGCTTTACCGGACAGATCATTTTTTTCTGATGAAAGTATTTCTTCATTTTCTGCCTCATCCCCTTTGAAAAACATGGAGATAGTTCCTGAATCTGCATTTGTGGATGTATGTCCACTTGGTGTTTCAGACACATTTTGAGATTGTTTTTGTGGGTTATTTTCCTGAGTGATGGGATTAACAAAACCAGCATCTGGTAAAAGAGGCTGTGGGTAAAACTGTTCTTGGTAAGGTTGACTTGGCCAAGGATTAGTCATTCTTACATTCTGTCTAAACATATTTTCAGGCTGAAAGTTGTTCACATGGTGGTTGGCAACTGGGAAGCTGCTTATCTCATTCTTTTCACCACCAATGGGCAAAGGTGCTTGCATGGTACTTTGTGGAATATGTTGATGTACGGGTCCCTGATGCAGATTTGCTTGGGGAGGAAGATGGGACTTAACAGCAGAAGAGTGAGAAACGCTATAAACTGCATTCTGAGAAGGTGGCTCAGTATAGGGCCAGTAGTTCTGAACTTGAGGCTGCAGATTATCTTGAATGGGTCTCCACTGAGGTGGGGTTTGTTGAAGAGGTGGAGGGAGAAATGGTGCTACTGTAGGCACTGAACTATTGTTGCTTGGATCCCTATTAATATCTTGTCTGCTTAGGGGTCTGTTTGCCACATGTGCCATAGCCGGATGTCCACTGAGAGACTTTTCGTGTGCTGCTCCTGTATTATAAAGCGACTGTGCTGAAGAGTTATGGGGTCCATGTTCTGCATTTGGATGCATTTGATGGATTTCTGCAGTGCTATTTATAATATGTGCTGGTGATGAAGGAGTCACCACATTAGAAAATGTATTTGAAGTTATTCCTGGTTGAGATACAGATGTTGGTAAAGATGTAGGCAGTCCATGAGAATTATCCCCTGCATATGACTGAGAAGAATGCACACCAGCTGGACGAGGAAACACTGATGGAGCAGGACCTGGCATAATCAGGGGATTGCCTTTGGATGGATTACCTAACAGGGAACCTTGTGGAGTTTGCCTGCCAAATGCAAAAGGGTCTGTCACAGGTTGCACCGGGGCAGTTGCTCCTGAGACCGGTGCATTTGCCCGTCTACTAAATGGGCTGTTTCGCCAATACGTGTTCCGAGCAATTCCTGCAGGAGGAGGTCCACCAGCCCCTGCTGGAACTGTCTGTGGAGGTGGCTGCATGACGAATTTCTAGCAAAGTCAAATGCTGTTTGGAGAACCACCAATGAATGCTGTAGACAGGTTTTCCTTTTTCCCCACACTGAAAAGGAGAACATAAGACAAATTAGTTTCACATCCCACTATAAGAAAACTCAGTATTTAAAAAAAAACTAATTCTGTTTTTTCCCTAAAAGAAAGAATTTTCAGAAAGTGATCTGCTGAAGACACAGGATTCCCAAAAATAGAATATTTGCCAGTTTTTCCAGAATGTATATTTATTTCACACATTGAGTTTTCACTACACTAGACTTATAATTGTATTTATACACAAGGTTCCATCTAACACTGTTTGGCCAGTCAGTGCAAATAAAGCCAAGCCATTTTAAAAACAATGTAAAAAAAAACCTACAGGGAAATGTCTTTAAATACCGTTTGGACCCAGGCAGTGTTTACACTGACTTTTACACTTGTGCGGAGCTCTTTCGTAAAGTCTCATACTAACAGCTCCACCAGGGGTAGCACTAGTGTAGTGACATTTATACCATCATGTCTAGACTGGCTTTCAGCAGGATTAGACAATATAGTGGCAAAACATCAGCAACTGAGCTATCCTAGCACTCCCACCACGGGTAGCACCAGTTAGTGGTAGTGCACTAGTGGAAGATATTAAGAAACGCTCAGTTAGGAAAACTATCAGCTTCCCATACTTTCTTAGGAAGCGTTTTAGCTTGAACTGCATTTAAACACAGGAAGAGCTGTATGAATGGAATAAAAGCATATTACTTTCAGAAAGAAATCCATACAAACAACACAAAATGTTATCTGCATTAATTCAGCGCGTTCCACTTTTATCACTGCAAGACATTCTGGGGCATGGGGAAGGAGGAAGGGAAGGAAGACATTACCAGAAGCAGAGTATTTTAAACTTAAAATACAGTCTAAATTCTCCTGTACAGTTCGTCAAAATATATATGCTCTCTGGTTAATTTTAACAGGACTGTTCTGGAAGTTTTCCATCTCAACTCAAACTCACTGATATCAGTTGTAAGAATTCAGTGGGTTGCACAATACCAGTTTTCGTAAGTTAGTTAAGACCTTGTATTTTTCCATTTATAATACTGTATCACTTAAAAAAATTAAAATAAAACAAGCCATGGCGATTTATATGAGATATGGGGCATTATTACCAGTCCTGTACTATACAGTGTGACCTTTCTTTAATAGAAATAGGCTATTAATGTAGTTCACATCATGGAGAGAAAAGCATTCACAGTAGTTGTGTCATCTATTGGATACATTTTTGTTTATCCTTCATAATAAAAGGCAACCAAGAGTTGTGCAGCGTTTTAGCAATATGACTCCCAAAGTCAATGGCAATAACCTATTTAAAACCACCTTTAAATTTCCGGTTAAGCAACTAGTGTCTTTTGATAGCAAGAGTTGTACGTTAAGAAACTACAACAGAACAAAGTTTGTGAATGGGTCAGGAGCTAAGCAGCTAGAGAAGGGGTTAAATGCAAAAACCTCTCTCTGGGGTTTCAGCTTAATCAAAATATAATCTTGGCAAAAAGTCTCTGGCTGCATTCATTCTGTAAAGCTTTAAAATCAGTAAACTTCAAAAACACAAAGCATGTAAGCCAATGAGCAGGAGAGCCCTTATATATTTCCCGAAGGCAACTTCCCCTGGCTTCTAATCAATACAATCTCTCATTACTATTTATTATTTGTATTACTGTATCTCGTAGGTCATGGTAATGCAGCCCCTCTTTATGTGGGATCATTGAGGAGGGGGTCTGCTATCGGGGTCCCCCTCCATGGGGACCAAAGGGCCAATGCACCCCATTACAATGTTCTAGTTATTGCTTCATATCCAATGTAAATCTTTTGTTAGGATGGGGAGGAGGAGCAGAATTGAGTTAATGCTAGGCTTTTGAATAGAAATATTGAACTTAGATTTGTTAGTTTCAGGCATAACTTCAATTTTTCTTTAAAATTCTTTTTTAAAACAGTTGCATGCTTAATCCATGTCAGGGAACATTAGTTGCAATTCAAAGAGTTTTCAAAATATTGTAATCGTTTCTCTCTGCCTTGATATCTGCGAGAAGGTTTTCCAACAGGGCACAACTACTGCCAACCAGGATGTTACCAGGAAACCCTGCCTAGTCAGCGGCTCCTGATTCTACACACTTAGAAAATGAATATGCTTCTAAGAATCTGTTTTGGACATCCCCTTATATTTATTTTTCCACAGTTAAGTTTTCAGGTTTTTACACTAAAATTATTAAAATTTGTGTTTTCATTGTACTAGCTGTTCTCATGCAATGCATGGGAAAGTGGAAACCAGAAATGTAAGACAATAGTTCAAGTGGAAACCATAATTTCTTGTGAACAAAATGTTTATTTCCCGTTTACAAATTTTTTAGTTTACCCAAAAACTTGTTTTTGAAAATGTAGTTGGGTAGAGAAATCAGTTGTTTTAGAATGTAGGTGTTGACTTTCACATTTCTGAGAGGGACTTTGTTCCTAACAATATTTTATGAAACACACACAAAACACTAATATCTTCAGCGTTCTTGTAATAACAGATAATTAGTAAATTCAAAATTAGCGAAGAGTCCAACTTTCATTAATTACTTGTTCTCTTTTTTGTGGATCTCAGAAATAAATAAAGAACTCTAATCATAAACTTATTTTAGAGGCCCAAGCCAGGAGGATGCATCCTTTTCTGGATCAAAGTTAATAAACAGATCATACACAGCAAGTAGAAAAGGTGTGTAAGAGATTAAAAACACAAACTGCAGGTTATTAAAATGATGAAAGCAAGTAGTTTTAATCCACAATATCAATTTGGAAAAAAAATCTTTTTTCCAAAACGTAAAATTAACAGAAGGTTTTTTTGTTTTTAATAAGTGAGAACAATGATGGCTACATAATAATCTCAAAACTAATCCAACTAGAGTGTTCACATCTAGGGTGGCAAATCTTGCATCTCAAAAAGTTTTACTAGTTGATAAGGCACAGTGGCCTACTAAATATTAGTCACCGAGTGACTACAGAAAATCTACAATTGCATAAAAAGGGCAGCCCCAGAAAAGGTTACCGAAAACAAAGTTTTACCAGTTATACCAAAGCGTAGCTATCCAGGTATAGCTACACTGATAACCCAATGTAGACACTTACTCCAGTGTAAGAGTGGCTTTTTTGATGTAGCTTAAACCTCTTCCCCAAGTAACATAAAGTAAAGCAAAAAAGCCACTCTTGGGCCTCCTCTGCACTTGAAAGTTTTGCTAATATAGCTATGACAGTTAGGAGTAGGAGGCAAAAAAAAAAATCCCACTTCCGATAGACATAGCTATGCCGGCAAAAGCCCTAGCGTATATGTAGTTTATAACAACAAACTCCTTTTCTCAATATAACTTATTTTCTTCAGGGAACTTGTGTAAATTATACTGGCCAAAACATTCGTCTGCGTGTACAAACTGCGTCTCCATTAGGAGAGTTTGCCAGAGGGTTCGAACAGGGAGTTATACCGTTACAACTATATCAGCTTAAATTCACTCCTTTAGTTATACTAAAAAAGCTTTCCCATGTAGACAACACCTAAACAAAGGAAAATGAACTGTTTTAAAAAAAAAAAAGTCATTAGAACACCCCAAAAAGATATAGCTAAAATCTGAAAAATTAGGCTTAAGCTTTAAGAGTTAAAGTAATATCTAAAAGATGTATGAATACATTTCAGAACAGTCAAACTGAGGGGCCAACATAGTCAGTGAGATTGCTCAAAGTAATATTTGTTAGCATGTTTACAGAATCGATCGCTCAGTGTGAAAAATAATTCCACTGAAAGCTCATGTGACTGTCTTTCCAGAGGCCAACTAATAAAAACTCAGATCGCAATGCAATTTCAAGAACCAGACTGTAGGTTTTTTTTCGTGTTGCCTCCTAGCAACATGCATTATGAAGAGATATGTTTGGTGTTCTTAATTAATTTAATAATGTCCTGAGGGTTATTACATCACCACCACCACCACATGTAACTTTCAGTATGAGCCACAAAAGATAAAATGTTTATGTCTGCATTTTATCTAGTGTCTGACTAGATATTGGACTTAATTCTATATCAAATTCTGCATTAACTAATGTTATTACATAGCCCAAGTCAGTTTACTCAAAAAAATACAGCATAAGGAGTGTTTCAGACATGCATTATTCACACACAGTTCTCTACTTAAGCATGCAGAATAGCTCATAGAAGATTTTTTTTCCATCTCACAAATTTCTTGCAGTTCACATTAAAATATTTATATTCATATGAGCTTTAATTTTTATAACTTATTGTGTGTCAAGAGTGGCATCTTAGTAGAAAACTGAATTTTTGCAATGGATCATGATTTGTACCCAAACAAGAAACCAATGAAATTCATTGAATAGCATCTGCAACACTTAGTGAAGTTTGAATGCAACAGGTGTACTTGAGGTGATCATTTACCCAAAAGTCAGCCTAGCTAAATAAAGCTTATAACAAATGATCAAAACTAAAATGGTGTCAGTTTTTACAGGTTTCTTAATTCTTTGAAAAGGATCTTAATGGACCAAATGATACACCCTGGTAGAATCTGGAAAAATTCTCTTTGTTTATGTTAGGATTTTCTGTGGAGCTTAAATGGCAACTACTAAAAGTGAAATATGACAAATGTTATCATGAAGCAGTGAACAATGAATGAAGACCTATTACTTTCTCCACAGAGCTTTTCAGCGTTGTGTACCTCCTTCGTGTACCATAACCCATGCACAATGACACAACAATACACACAAACCAAAGTAGTTAAATTAGTTATCTAGTACACGAGTTTGTCAACATCACTGCAGGAATACGTAAACAGCACAAATACAGTTAGATAAATCTGTAATCAGTATTCTAATTGAAGATCTTGGGTCAAATATTTTATGCATAATTTATTCAATGAGCAAAACAGCCTCAATTAAGCAATTTTAACTATCAAAACAAGATCTACAGGCAACTGTAGTTTTGGCTGAGATGAAAGGAATCCAAAATTTTCTCAACATCTCTGCTATGCTTTGGACACAAGCAAAGTAAGAGATAAAAGCTTGTGAACTGAATTGAAACACTAAAAGCTTTGTTATCCGGCATGCTGGGGGAATGGGGGGTGCTGGTTAGTCAAAAATTGTGGTTAACTAAGAGTTATACTTACCAACGAAGGGAGGGAGTTTGGGTGAGGGAGGTGGCTCAGGGCTGGGGCACAGGCTCTGGAAGGGAGTTTAGGTGCGGGAGGGGGCTCAGGGCAGGAGGTTGGGGCACAGGAGGCGTTTCGGGGTGCCGGATCCAGGTGGCACTCACCTCGGGTGGCTCCCCACAAGCAGCAACATGTTCCTGCTGCTCCTATGCAGAGGAGCGGAAAGGCAGCTCTTCACACTGCCTCTGCCCACAGGTGCCACCTCCGCAGCTCCCATTGGCCATGGTTCCCGGCCAATGGGAGCTGCAGAGCTAGCATTCAGGAAAGGGGTAGTGCACGGAGTCCCCATGGCTGTTCCTCTGCCTAGGAGCAGCAGAGACATGTCACCGCTTCTGGGAAGCCCTGCAGGTAGCCTGGCAACTCTACTGAAGATTTGTATTGGGAGATATCAGAAATGCCTGTTTCTCGAGCTTTCGGGTTGGTAAATTGCCGGATAACGCAGATTTCACTGTGTTATCACAGAAGACCCTGCAAAAGGACACCAGTGGCTACAGTGTTAAATTAATCCTATGCTGCAAGACAGTTTTTCTCCAACACTAGAAGCAGAGTAACTGAACACTTTTTAAAAATTCAACGGTATGATTTATTAGTCTCCCACACCTTTTATACGTTACTGGTCATCTTAGGCCGCAATCCTGCAGTCGGATTTGTATGGGCAAACCCCTGTGTTCATACGGATCCAATTACAGGATCAGGGCCACAAACCATAAGCTGTCCAGAACAGGCACTTCATCTTCCTGCATGCATGGATGACATCTAACATACTGTGGAACACTATCATACTGCAACAATAATGCTAAACACTTCCTACCAGCTTCCCCATAAATGCAAATATTGCTCTGATGCTCCTGGAATCAAGAACATAGAGCTGAACATGCATCCCTCAGACAACAGCAACATAAACCTTTCCATTACTTTGGAAAGGAAATTACTAGTTAATTAGGTCAGTGGTTCCCAACTTTTTTCAGGCAATACTCAGCCATCATCAGCAGGTTCTCAAAGTCTCTCCTGTTCAATTATGCACATGGCTAAGAAGCTACAACCGTTTGAAAAAGGGAGACTCTGGTTTTGAAGAGAGCATTTTAAATGTCTTGTTGAAAAGAAACAAAAACATTTACACTCAGGGACATACTTTCAAAATAGCCTTAATACCCTACATCTACCCACAAGACAGACCTGCAATCATACACACTCTAACCTACTGTGGAGCTTGGGTTTCCCAAACACAATCAAATAGGTAGAGGGGCAGAAACTTCAACTGCCATCTTTGCAAATTCATCTTACAGTATAAACCCATACATTGCAACATCTGAGCACCACCATGTCGCAATATCATGAAGTGTCACATCAGGGACCCCAATCCAATTTCAGGATTTCCCAGAAATCCCTTTTCTACAGCTGCTTCTGTTGCTTACATGCCACAAAGGCACCCTGAGAAAAATCAGAATTGTCCAGGGTGGGAACAGTAGGTACCATGTTCTGGGGACCAATATGAATACATACGAGAAGTTGGGGGTAATCGTAGACAGCCAGTCCCTGAAGTACCCAGTGCTGGACCTTCCACCCCTACTGTCTATACATCATACTTGTACGTCTCCCATTACTCAATAAGTGCCTTGCAACCTTTAATTTATTTAACCTCACAACATCCCTATTTGATAGGGGAGTCATAAGATCTGCATTTTACAGATACAGAACTGAGGCAGAGCGTCGAAGTCTCCCAAATCCTAAGGTAGCATCCTAGCCACTGGGCCATCCTTTCTCTCAATGTGAAGAGCTGCCCACGCATTTGAACCCCACAACCCAGCAAGTCTTGAGCCACATTCCTCAGGCTATGCCTCCCCCCCCCCAAACGACGTAACCAAATGACCTCCAGACTTCTCCCATAACAGCATCCACATCTCTTCATGCCCCAGGCTTCCCACCAGCCAGGCTGCACCCTACTGACATCCAGCTTTCTCACTTTGTGGCTCCAAATCTCCCAGGCCAAAGCTGCTTCCCTTCTCAAATGCCCCCGAAACCAGTCCCCGGCCCAGGCTCTACTCCACCCCATCACTCCCTGTCACCCTCCGCCCCGAAGTCCCCCTCTCCCCGGCCAGCTGCAACCCCAAACTCCCACCCACCCACCCCCAAAGCGTCCTACTCCCTGTCGCCCCAAAGCTTCCACCTTCCCAACCCCTCCCCGCTCCCTGTCACCCCCCAGGCTTCCCCAACCAGTGGCAGCCCGAGCCCGCCCCAGCCCACCCCCCAGGTGGCCCCCGGCGCGCTCCCCTCACCCGGCGGAACCCGGCTCGGCCCCCAGGGGGTGCACGCAGCAGGCGAAGCCCCTTCAGCAGCAGACGCCTCCCCCCCTCACAGAAGCCGCAACCCCAACAATCGCCACCATCTTGGAACATCCGGCTCCAATGGCCCCGGCCGCCGACGTGTCACGCTCCGCACGCGATGACGCAGCGCGTACGCTTCGAGGCCACACACATTTTGTTTCTTTCCCCACCCCGTTGAGTTGCTTAAAGGGTTCGTCGGGTGGCGGCGGCGGGTGTAAACTCAGCTGCGTCGGCGGACAGAAAATGTAACCATCCCTTTAAGGGTTCGGCGCTCACCGGCGGGTGTCCTCCGAAGGCCGCCAGGGTTATGCGCATGCGCATTGAGGGTGGGTGGGCACGCTAACAAATACAGCTTCTGGAGATGTGAGGATACAGGTTCGAACCCCACCTAGGGAGGTTGGAGAAGCCTTGACGGGCCTGAGCAGGATTCACCTGCTCAGCCTGTTATTCTGGGCTGGGCCTGTCCATCTCGTCAGACCTGCCCAACCAGACCGTATCTCCCTTTGGACACTATGACCCCCCCCATGTTGCCAAGCCGCATCTGAGCCTGGCCTGCCCACCTGTGTTGGACAGGCAATGCCTTATTAAACACAGGAAAGCAGGTGCCCACCTCCCCCAGTGGCCCCTGCACTGCACAGCCTTAGGGGCCCTCCCCTCTTGCCTGTGCCCTCCAGTGCATGTGGTGGTGAAAGCTTGTGTCCCGGGGATGGCCTGGGAGCGCTGTCAGCCCCTGCGCTGACAGCCCAGGTGCCAGCGATGCCTGGAGGAGGTGTCAGATAATTAGACATCTCTGACTAAACTGTAAGGATCTGTGTGACGAGAACCCCACTCCACAGAGCCAGGGCTGGCTGATCTTCCCACAGTGTCACCAGGCACAGCCGGGGAACGCCAGGGAGAGCAGGCGCTGCAGGAAGCACTGCCCAGGAGAGGCAGCGTGACAATGCCCTGCGGCCCTCTGCCTGTCCAAATGCACTATTTAACCCTGGAGGCCGCCTAGAAAGTTGTCTGGGCAACCACATAGACTTCTGGCCTGTTGTGATTCCAAACCGCACCGAAGTCTCCTGATCGCTGTTCTCCAACCCCAGCCCCACTCGGACCTTGACCCTGCCTCTTGATTCCAGCCTAGCACTACCTATGATCTCCAACCCCAGCCGGACTCCAACCCTGACTTTGCCTATTGAACCTGGCTCCAGCGATTCCTCTCACTCCTGCTCGCTGATGACCCTCCTTGACTTGTGGATCCCAGCCCAGCTGTGACTGCAAGGCCAGACTGCAAACTCCAAATGGAGAATGAAGAATCTCGTCTCTCTGCCATGTGAAGTTTCCACTACCTTCCTTTCCATCCCTTTCGTTTTTCTTGAAATGTGAGCGTCTGAGTGGAAGGGCTCTGCCCCCGCAGATTCACCCGGAAAGCTCCATTTAGAAAAGGCAACTAGAATAATCAGGTGGTTTCCTGCCAGGAGCTTGCTCAGTGTTCTCAATAACCACAGAGCAATAAACTCCTCTTACTTTGCATACATTCTCTGAATTCAAAGCACCATAGAATCACATCACAATGAACAATAAACACAATGCATGGGAGTCATTGGCCAGCAATCTTCCTGCCTGTTTCACCGTCTTCACACAGCCTCGAGAAGCACGCCATACCACAAACTATTCTGAGAAGTAAGGAAATTCAGGTTTAGCAATCATAAGGCCTAGTCATCTGTGCCAGTTCCTATATTATTATTAATTATTACTGCATTAAGGTAGCATCTAGGAGTCCCAGTCATTCACCCCACTACACTAGGTTCTGGACAAACACAGAACAAAAAGACAGTCTGCCCCAAAGAGCTTATGGGGTGGCTTTGGCTGTTGTGGGGTTGTAGCATTGCAGATACGTGAAATAAGGCAATAAGCTGTTAGTTTCGTAAATTATGGAGAGATGTGCAAGAGCCAAAATCCTGGATCTGAACTTTGATTTCAACTTTAAGAGCGGGCAGGTGTCCATATCACAAAACCCAATGTCACAACAGGTAAGCTCATGGACAGTTTCAGAAGGAAAGTCAAGGGCTGAATGGACCATATAGACTGTTTTGAGGCCAGGTCTGTACTATAAACTTACATTGGTATAACTACCGTCGCTCAGGGGTGTGAAAAATCCACACCCCGAGTGACGTGGTTCTACTGACCTAACCCCCAGTGCCAACAGCGCTATGTTGATGGGCAGGCCTCTCCTGGAAGTGGATTAACTACACCAATAGGAGAGGCTCTCCTTTAGTGTAGAAGCGTCTTCACTGAAGCACTGCACACAGCCGTACCAGAGTTTTAAGTATAGACCTGCCTTTACTGAAGAGATGAACTTGCAAAGAAGAACCGCTAGGGTGAGGCAGAGCACTGCCTGTGGAATGTTGGACCTAGGGTGACCAGATGTCCCGATTTTATAGGGACAGTCCCAATTTTTGGGTCTTTTCCTTATATAGGCTCCTATTACTCCCCCCTCCCCCGCCGTCCTGATTTTTCACATTTGCTTTCTGGTCACCCTAGTTGGACCTGTAAAATTAGCATCCAACTAAAAGGGAAATGTGGGTCTACCAACCTTTTCCATTTCCTTCATTATACAGCACGCCCTTCCAACAAGGCGGATGCTGGAAAACTTGTTTTCAGCTTTCAGAGTAGCAGCCGTGTTAGTCTGTATCCGCAAAAAGAACAGGAGTACTTGTGGCATCTTAGAGACTAACAAATTTATTAGCGCATAAGCTCTGTAGCCCACGAAAGCTTATGCGCTAATAAATTTGTTAGTCTCTAAGGTGCCACAAGTCCTCCTATTCTTTTTGTTTTCAACTGAGTCAGGTGCCTACTTTAAGGAGCATAGAAAGGGGGAAAGTGACTCTGATTTTTTGATTTTCCAGAGTCATTCTGCACCAATATTCTAAAGTGTGTGGAGCAATACTAGTTAGAAGTTTACTCAAAAGAGTCAACTGCATCCGTAGAACACTGTCTGGTTTCTCAAGGCAAAGATTTTGGAAGTTCTGTAGTAAGTATGCCTAGAAAGATTCACTGAGTTACCAAAAGGTTATAGAATGGATCACTGAAGTGCAATGGGGCTTTAATAGCACTGGGTTATTAGAAATTAAGCCGATCAAAAATTATTTTGTCTGAGCGGCAGTTGAATACACCAAGATGCTTGTTATGTTACTGCTTTCAGAAGCTACAAATTAAGGCCCTCATCCTGCAATCATTTACGCACATGCTTAATTTAACAGGAATGCTTAAAGTTAAGCATGTGCATATTTGTAGGATTGTGGTTTAAGATTCCATGGATTGTAATTTTACAGATGAAGTAGATACAGGGCCCTGTCTATGCTGCAATTTGAAACCATAGTTCCCCATTTTTAACAAACTGTGAGAGCACTGCTCCAGAAAAGCACGAGTTTTGTTTTTCTAAAGAAGCTGCTAACACTCTACCATGAACTGGGCCAGAGTTTTTACTGCATGTAAGTCTGTGCTCTAGCTCTGTTGTGAGGATGTGTTTCTCCTGGAGAAAGGTGCCACAAGTACTCCTTTTCTTTTTGCTTTTAAAGAGGAAGTCATTCTTCAAAAGTAAGAATGATGGGTCTTATTTACAACAGTTTGTGTACAGGTGTTTCCACTGTGCCTGCATTGTCATATTCTGTATTGAACAAAAAGCCTCTGAGACAAAAGTACAAAAAATACAAGTGACCTAAACAAACATCTTAATCAAGGGTCATTGTCAGTTCAAGGGCCATTTCCTGCCCACTTGATCATTAAAGCAAGGTAATATCCTCAAACCCAGTCCGAGCAGGGCAGGCAGCACTTTGATGATGGTGTGGGAACCAGACGCAGTGCTGTGATTTTTAAAAGTGCCTTTCATCTCTCTTTTGTGAGGACATTCTTATGAACCAGCTTGTCAAATGCCATTTACCTACACAGTCGTGAAGTGAACATAAAGGCTATGTTCTGGTGCTTCCCCCAGGGGTATTTTGTGAGGACATCTGAGTTTGATTAGCCTAGTTGGGCCTACATGGGTCTTTCATTATTGATGCTATTTACTGAATTCAAACACTATCAGGTTAGAGTGGGAGCTTATCTTTGCTCTTTCTGCTCTTAAGTGACTGATTGCACTATAATATCACACTGATGAGATTTCATTCTGTAGCCTTTACAGTCTACATGCAGCAATGCTGAAGTGCAGCCAGATCTGGGGTCAGGGTACCAAATAAGAAATAAGTGCTAGCCAAGTAACGGCAAAGGATCCTTTCCTTGCACACTGGACAAAATGCAGATGTGTGGAAGGTAAGAATAGAACATTTGCAAACCTGCTTTTCATTCTGTTCTGTGCAGTTACCATTACTCTCTTCGGGGTGCAATGCAGTTATATGTATCTTTCATTATTAAGTGCCGGCAGTACGCTCAGCCCTGTACAACAGGCAAAAACGAAGACAGTCCCTGCCTCAAAGAGCTGACTGTTGAAAAATCTTTTACCTTTCAGTCTGAGTTCAGCAGGGAGGCAATTGCTCTGGGGAGAGCTTATGCTTCAACTATCGGCATCCTATTAGTCCAGCCAACTCAGACATGCTAAGCTTTCTGTTAGCCTTCATCATTCAAAACACACTGAGTTCCTGGTGCAGTGCCACTGGGTTTACGCCTGGGATGAAATGCTCCCACTTTGATCCTTCTAAGGGGACAATCCCAACTGCTGGGGCACAAGTCAGAGATCAGGACCCAAGCACCTGTGCTGGAAACTTTCAGAGCAAGCACAGACAGCCTCCAGAAAGCCATGCAGAGCAGCAATTTCCAAATGCTCCATCTAATTGAGCAGGAATAATGAAAAAACAAACACACCCAAAAATACCACCAACACAACTAATCCTCCAGCATAAAAACAAGTAGCTCAGATGCACCGGTGTTTCATTAGCAACAAATGTGCTTGCGCTCGGAGCGGCTGAGTGGTATTCTGATCTAAACAGGTGCTTATAAATCCTTTGATCACTATGGTATAGTATAGAGGTTCTCCACCACTTTCCACCTGGACCCTTGAGGCCACCTGCAGGTTCTTGCCAGGACCCACCCAAATCCCATCATC